GACTGAAGCAGGGACCATGGAGGACTGCTGATTACTGGCTCGCTCTCTGGCTCAGCTGGCTTTCTTCTGCAGCTCAGGACCTGTTTGAGAACGGCAGAGTCCACAGCACCAGTCAACAAGACAGGCCCTCAGAGACATGGCTACAGGCCAATCCTATCAGGGCAGCGCTATAATCGGGGATCCCTCAGATGACTTTAGGCTGTGTCAAAGTTGAGAGCTGAAACTGCCTGGCTTATTGTGGTTGGCCTGCTAAATTCAGATGCTCAGGCCCTTCTAATTCACAGTCCAGCCTTTGGGCCAGGGTCAGTCTCCTGTGGTGTTATCCACCCTGAAAGACTGTGAAGTCTGCTTGGCCATGCCCAGTCTGAGTCCCCTCCTCTCTAGGGACCCCTCCTTACTGTTGACAGTAATGAGTCCTCTCACAGCACCCCTAGTCATCCAAGCCTAAGCCAGGGCCTAGAGGCTAAATCTGCTGCTTGTGGAAGGCAGGGCCAGAGGGTTGGCGGGCATCTCAGGAGCAGGCGCTGCTATGGTGTGACTTCCTGCCTAGGGCATCCCACTGTTTTTCGGTGTGGTTTTTGCTGCTTCTCAGCAACTAAAGGCCCTTTTATCTCCATGGTTGTTTGCAGCTGAACCCATCCCTAGGTAGTCCTTCCCAGCTGTTGCCCCAGGAGCTTGTGTGGCTGTCTGGTGACTCACAGCTGCCAGCGTGGCACCCCACCAGCCCAGAGGTTCTGAGCAGTGAATATACGAAGCTGTCATACATTTTATGCCCAGCGTGTCTGCAGGGCTGGTCCTTGGTCCTCGTGTTGGAGAGATGAGGGGCCACTTCTCCTGTCCTAGTAGTACTTCTGTAAGGGCTGCATGCCTTTATCCAACCCTGGACCTCTGTCTAGGCCAGGGACAGATGACTCCCCTGTAACTTCCCCTTGACTCTGTGTAGTGGTTTGTGGCAGGCCGTGTAAGTGCTAAGGCAAATAAGCCCTGAGTGACACACTTCAGAGACAACAGTGGGCTGAGTGTGCCCAGGACGCCCATGGGTGGTGGCGATTAGCTGGAAGATGTCCCAGGCAGGTGAGGGAGGAGGCACCCAGTTCTCTGTGACTTTGGCACAGAGCAGCAGGCTCTCATCATGGTACCGTCGCTACTGCTGTGCCCGGGGACTTGACAGTTATCCAGGGACCCGAAACTGTTGACAACAGTTATGGGCATAATGGAGGCTGCTGGGTCCTAGGAGGGAAGTTCCCAGAGGACATGCTGGTTTAGAAGCTGTTTAGATGCAGGTATGATGAATACCTGGGGCTGGCCTGGAAACTGGCTCTTCCCCGTTGATAGCTCTGTCACCAGCACCTGGGAGCCGATCCAAGGTAGCATCGCTGTTACCAAGGGGACACCCTTGGGGCGTCCCTGTCCTCCAGCTTCTGCCGCTGACAGTATTCAGGAAGCTGTGAGGAGTACTTTTTCCTGGGGTTAGAGAGAAGCTGGGGATGGCCTGTCCAGCCAGCACAGGCTAGCAGTGCCTGCACCATCCCCGGCATGGAGTATATCCTGTTTGTGCTTTATTTCTCCTTCTTCCTCTGCCTCTGTGCCCTCGTGTGCCTCTACTTCTCTGGCTGCCAGGAGATGACCTATAGGCATGAAGGTATGCAGCTCGCTGCGGTGGGGAGGGTCTTGGCAGCTCCTGGCTGCCATTGGAAGATCCTGTATCTCTCAGGTGATTCTGACTGGACACTGGGAAGGTAAAGAAAGGAGTTGATGAGATGTTGTGTCTAGTGGAGGAGAGAGAGAGAAAGAGAGAGGATTTCCTTCTATTTGCCAAGTGTGAGCTTGTGTGTGTGTGTGGAGAAGAAACATTCGATCTGCAGGCATTTTGGTGAAAATTACATTACACACACACACACACACACACACACACACATCTCACAGTAGCTCAGTGAGCATGGCCTCCAACTTAACATTGTATCTGAGAATGACCTTTAATTCTGACCCTCCAGTCTTTACCTCCATTACATGCTGTGTGTCCAGTGACTCATAGCTGCCAGCACCCCACAGCCATGCACCCCCCACCATGCTGGATAATCACTCTACCAACCAAAAGACACCCTCAGCCCCCAAACTACATTCTAAACTTTGGATTGGTTTATAGAAATGCAGTCGGCTAGACTGACCTGCATTGTGAGAAGGGTGAGCTATAGGGGCAAGCCCCTCACAGCCAGTGCACTTGGCATCTGTGAATTCTGGGAACTCTCCTGTTCAAGAGTTGCAGGGGGTACATATCCAGGGAGCTTAGAATCAAGGAGCACAGGCCACCACTCAGCAGCTTGCAGGAAGCAACATTTCCTGGTGGCTCTCCCCCAGCCTCTGGAAGCAGGTGTGGGCCGCCTCCTGTGTGTCGAGGAAACAGCTAGAAACAAGTTTTGCGATTTTCAAGGAGATAGCCACTATTTTCACTTTAAACACCAAGCTGGTTTTTCTGTTTTGTCTTGGGTGGGTTAAGCTGTACCAGGTGGGGTGGCTGTACCGGCTTCTCTGTCATCTCATCGCTTAGACAAAGGAGCTCTTCCAGGCATGGGACAGCCTGTGGGCACACCTTTGTAATCTCACATTGTGGGAGGTGGAGGCAGGAGGATGGAGTTCAAGGCCAGCCTGCACGACGTGAGACGTTATTTAAAAAGGAAAATAAGGCTACAAGGAGTTTGTAAAGGAGACAAACTGACCCACCCACGTGTCTGACCCACCCACGTGTCCTGACCCACCCACGTGTCCTGACCCACCCATGTGTCCCGACCCACCCACGTGTCCTGACCCACCCACGTGTCTGACCCACCCACGTGTCCTGACCCACCCACGTGTCCCGACCCACCCACGTGTTGTGTCCTGACCCACTTTATGTGTCCTGACCCACCCACCCACGTGTCCTGACCCACCCACGTGTCCTGACCCACCCACGTGTCCTGAGAGCCTGACAGGCGCCGGGACTCAGCTGGCTCGGGGCTGCTGGGGAAATGCACGGCTGTACATAGTTATGGATTCATTTCCACTGGCAGGATTTCACTGAGACTCTTGGTTTGGGCCGGCTTCCACCATGTAAGTAGCTCCCAGCTTCCCTTGGTGCAGCAGGGCTCTCTGTGGGACTGGTTTGCTGTGAGGCTCCATCTGGGCCAGACCCTGGGCTGCTGAGTTGGGGACATCAGCAGTCAAAACCTTGTGATTAGGCTCTGTCGTTGATACTTAATTAGCGGTCTCCCTGGCCTTCCGAAGCAGGTTAGCCTAGGTAATGGAGTAGGATTGTTAGCCCCAGACACATCCAGAATGCTAACAAACCCCGTGCCCTGATCTTGGGAGGTATGTGTTTTAGAATCTTCCTGGGGCCCACTTGGTAGGGGGAGGAGCAGAGACCTCACTCCATCAGGCACCAGTTAGCACAGCCAGCTCACAGCTCTGTCCCCAGCGCCCAGGCAATTAGCAGTGTTTATGAAAAATAGGGTTGGCCTGGCAGCAGCTCACGACAGCAGGGGTGGGTGTGGAGCTTGGGGCAGAGGTGAGCTACAGTGTAGACCCCATTGCTTCCTGGAGTTTCTAATACCTGCGGCCCGGGACTTCCTTTCTGAGGGCTGGGGAGAATTCTGAAGGCCACTTGGACTAGATGAAACCAAGCCTGGTTTCATTGTCCTTCCTTCCAGTTCACCTGGGCATGAAGGCGGCGGGGGGGGGGGTGGGGATACCCAGTAGATTCTGGCCGTGTCAACCTTCAAAGAGGTCACACACAAACCCCAAATCACTGGACGAACGTTCTGGTGGAGAGAGATAGTTGGTGCCTTGTAAAACCCTCTGTAGAAACCTCAACTGTGTAAGGTGGCCAAGAAGTCCCTCTCTGCCCCTTCTCTGCAACGTGAAAGGGACTTCCTCATGGTGCTGTCACTAGTGACCCAAACCTCCATGTTCTCTATCTGCACACGTGTGACTGCAAACGCACATCGGCGTCAAACTGCAGAGCAGGAGATGCCCTTGGGGTGTGAGGTACACCGTTCCTCCTCTGTGGGTGGGGAGAGGTGTGGAACTCGAGGAGTTTCTGGGAGCCCAGAGCTGACCACTGCAGTGAGGCTGCTGTTCTCTCCCGGGCATAGGAAGCCCTCTGTGAAGGCGAGGAAGTCTGTCAAAGAGGGTTGTTTAGGAAGAGAATAAAGAGCAGTGTACCTAGAGCCAGGAGCAGGTTTGCGCACGGAGACGGATGGTTGATGGTGGTAGTCTTCTGCAGCTAGAAATCCCCTGACTGCTACCCCGCCTGGTTTTAACCATGCATCTCTAGGCTCAACCTTGTCTGGCTCGCAGAATCTGTTCAGCCAGCAATTACTGAATGAATGAATGAGTGAGTGAATGAATGAATGAATGAGTAAGTGAACAAATGAGTAAAGCCCCACATCCTGTACAGTTTGGAGTGAGAGAGGTGTGGCCAGAGCCTCGAGTCATTGGCACATAGGACATTGAAACTGTGGAGTCTGAGGTTATGAGTTCGGGGCTCTTCCACTATTCTTTCTGATAGTGTCAATGTTCTGAGTGTGCTGTCCTCAAAAGGTAAGAAAAGTTGCTCTTAGGCGGGTCTGGGAAGGACGTGGGCCATGCAGCTAGTTCTCCAGCTCAGCCCTGGGGTCTTTGTTCAGCTCTCCTGATCACGTGCTCCTTTCCTGGCATCCCATGTCGCAGCTCCCTTTGGAGCCAGACATCCCACTCAGCTCTTAGACTGCTCCTGGTGCTGGCGCCAAAGAGTGGGTGAGGTCCCCCTTTGTGCTGGAAGGGTGGCAGCTCATCTCTTGCCGGGGGGGACCTGTGGCACCTCCTACCACCCTGTCATTGCTACACTAGCCACATCTTCAGCTGCCCTAGCGGCTCGCTCTGTCCTCTGCAGCTGTAGATGGGCTCTGAGCCCCTCTGCCCTGGGCTCGCACAGATAGACAGCTGTTCTCTCCTGCTCCTGACGTCATGCTCGGGATCTCTTACAGAAGCATGTTGTGGAGACATTTTTTGGATTTGACGAGGAGTCCGTGGACTCAGAAACGCTGTCCGAGACATCCTACAACACTGACAGGACGGACCGAACCCCGGCCACACCTGAGGAGGACTTAGATGAGGTAAGCAAAGGGCAGTATGCTGGGGACCTCCCACCTTCGTGTTGGCCAGGGCTGCTTCCTCTCTGGGACCAGTCCTGCTGTGCCTTATCAGAGCCCCAGAGCAGGGAAAGCTGGTCTTTGTTGCTTTGCAGGGAACCAATAAGCACCTTCCCCAGAGCCCATCTCTCTTGAGACTTCAGACTGCTAAAGACACACCCAGATACCCAGATACTGACCCTGTGCTCAGCATTGCAGATACACGTGGCTTATTTCTTACTGCTGCCCCCACATAGGTGACAGAAGTGGTCACACTGGGTGACTTTCATAAATTCTAGGTGTTATTTAGTAGACTTTCCCCTGGTGCTGCAGCCCACGGCAGGCTCCTCTGCCTGTCCTCCCTGTACCTCTCAGTGGCTGTCTCCTGAGCCCTAGTGAGAAAGGTATGCACTGGCTTCAGGATGATACCATCTGGTTGTGGCAAGTGCTGACGGAGCTTTCTGGTGTCACATGTGCCCTGCTGGGAAGGCTCCCTGCACTTCCAGGATGAGTCTAGGCATTACATCCTGTGTCTCCTTGTCCTAGCTCCTTGGGCAGCAGGCTTTCAAACCCCTTTGGCCGTTCCCTTGGAGTTCCCTCTTGAATGATATCAGGACCCTCAGGAAGATGCACCTCATCCAGTCATCCCACTGGCCTCAAAGTCAGTGGCTTATGGCTGGAGGGGCTTACCCATGTTGGAAACACCATGAGTGCCAGGTCCTGTCTGAGTGTCTGGCCAAGGTTTGCTCCAACATTGTCTGGTTTTTACAAGCAGTCATGCTATCTGCAATAGTGACTTGCTACATCAGTCACCCTGCCCCATCCTCTCACGACCGCATGCAGGGTACCGCATGCAGGTGTCTGTCTCCAGAACAGAGAGTCTCAGAAAAGACTTGTGGCCAGAGGAGCTCCCTTCTCAGGGTGAACCTTTACTGTAGAGTCAGCCTGGCTCCCAGTAGGCTTGCAAGTGCTCGGGGCCAAGGGCTGAAGGTGGAGAAGACCTTTTCTCCCAGTAGCCTTCACTCCAGGTCCTGATTCCTTCCTGGCATGAGCAGCTCACTGGGCATCTGTAGACACCGGGGAGAGATGTGGGTACTTGCTTCTATCTTGACTCTGTCTCTTGAAGTCACCTAAGTCATGAGTTGACTGGTTTTGTTGTTGTTGTTTGGTTAAGACCACAACCAGAGAAGAGGCTGACCTGAGGTTCTGCCAGCTGACCAGGGAATACCAGGCCCTGCAGAGGGCTTATGCCCTGCTTCAGGAGCAAGTGGGGGGGACGCTGGATGCTGAGAGGGAGGCCCGGGTAAGTGTGTTTCTTTGTTGATGGAAGGGCATGGAGACTGGGAACAGGAGGGAGCCTGGGGTCCCGTAGCCCTCACTCTTCAGCTGCCGTCTGTTTGCCAGAGAGGACACTTACAGCATTGAAGGGTGGGGGGCAGACAGAGGACTAAACAGTGAGGACTTGCTGCTAAGTCTGCTGCTCTCAACTCGAGCTGCTGAGAGAACTGATTCTTTCAAGTTCTCCTCTGACCTCCACATATGCAGACGTGCACAATAAATTAAAATAGGATGGGGTTTTAGGGAGTGATGAAATTATAGACTCAGCCAGTCTTTCAGGCTTCAGTCCTTTCTCCCTGCAGATCCAAGGTCCCTCCTCTCCTCCTGTCTCCCCAAGGAACACTTTCAGGGGTTCTCGGGGTACCTCAGGCTCGGGCACTGCAGGTGACCTCAGTTCATGCCATGCATCCATGGTGCTGAGCTGAATTTTTCTGGAAACTTCCTCCCACTGACCCTTCTCCCACCTTGGCGAAACACAAGATGTCCTCTGGGAGTACTGGAGACACCAGAGAGCACCAACTGGGGGCCAGTGCTGTCCCTTGCTCCCCATGAGACAGGATGGATCAGTCCCATTTCCTGAAGAATAAAGCTGAGCCTCAGGAAGACAGCGAGATGACCGAAGATGCCCAGATGGTTCCCAACAGAACTGAGAGCTGGGACCATGCCACTGTGGCTCAGAGTGCTCTGGAAACAGCCTTGGGAGCCCCACATAGGGAGGGCTTGGGTAGCTGAGTGCATATATATAGTGATGATGCAAGCAGGCCTGCTTTTCATCCCGCCCAGCTCCCACACAGCTAGCTTCACACCTGAAATAACAACACACAAATTGTATTCATTTAAACACTGCCTGGCCCATTAGTTTCAGCCTCTTATTGACTAATTCTCACATTTTGCTTTAACCCATATTTAGTACTCTGTATAACACCAGCCAGGAAAGATCCTAGCCTGTGTCCATCTCGGGTTGAAGAATCATGGCTTCTGCCTGACTCTGCTTTCTTTCTCCCAGAATTCTGTTCTGTCTACTCCACCCACCTAAGGGCTGGCCTATCAAAAGGCCAAGGAAGTTTCTTTATTAACCAATGAAAGTAACACATAGACAGATGACCCTCCTACATCACATATATAATAGTATGGCTTGCAGGTTTCAGGAAGATGGCAGGTGTAGGCAGGAGGCACCATCTCCAGAGACTTGGCACTTAGAATTTGAGGTGGTTGCAGATTCAGGTGGGGGAGGGGAGCATGCAGGAATCAAGATTCCTGAGGGGATGTGGCCACTTCTGCTACAATGAAAGATCCATCTTTTTGGGTCACAGCAGGTGAACTTATAGGCTTTATGTGGGCTTAATTTCTTTGTCTTTTAACATCATCCATTTGCCCAGTTAGTTGAGATTTCATAATACAGGTTGGGCATGTTGACATACACCTGTAGCCTCAGCACTTGGAGGCTAAAACAGGAGTATTGCCATTACCTGGAGGCCAGCTGGGACTATATAGAGAGTTCTCGGCTAGCCTGGGCTATAGAGCGAGACCTTGTTTCAAATTTTAAAAAGAATAGGAAAAGAAGTAGATTCCTGATTTTCCAGGTGACTTTGACCTTCTGATACACCTCCGAGGGCCAGGACCGTAAGGCTCTGATAGCATACCTAGCTGGGATTCTGCAAAGCAGGTCACAGCTGGATGCCTGCTGAATGAGAAAACAGTGACCTTGTCAGAGCTAGCCTTGGGACCCTGAGGCATCCAGTCCTGTCTGGCCCGTTCTGGAAGAGCACCACTCCTCCAAACTGTCCTTGATTGTCTGATACTGGGGGAGTTAGAGCCACTGCCTCCCATGACCCCTTAGCTGTCACTTTGTTGACACAGCTGTAGATGGACTTCAGAGCCCTCAAGTAGGCAGGTGTGAGCATGTGTGCACCAGGACCCTCCCACCCCTAAACTCTCCAGTAGGCAGGTGTGAGCATGTGTGCACCAGGACCCGCCCCCCCAACTCTCCAGTAGGCAGGTGTGAGCATGTGTGCACCAGGACCCTCCCATCCCTAAACTCTCCAGTAGGCAGGTGTGAGCATGTGTGCACCAGGACCCTCCCATCCCTAAACTCTCCAGTAGGCAGGTGTGAGCATGTGTGCCCCAGGACCCTCCCACCCTAATCTCTCCAGTAGGCAGGTGTGAACATGTGTGCACCAGGACCCTCCTACCCTAAACTCTCGTATTCCAGGCATTGTCTGGCCGGCAGCCTGTGTGTCACCTCTGCAAGTGACTTGCTCACTTCCCGGTCTTTTTCCTTCCAGACTCGGGAGCAGCTTCAGGCTGACCTGCTGAGGTGCCAGGCCAAAATCGAGGACTTGGAGAAGCTGCTGGTTGAGAAGGGACAGGTAAGCAGGAACGTGGGCTCTGTGCCCCTCCTGATTCTGTCCCCGTGGTATCCCTGGGGTCCGATGATATCTTTGGCGTGCCGAGGGCAGGAGAGAATGTGCTGCCACAGGCATAGCGTGCCCCTCTGTCTTGCCTGGTTTTTCTTTGTTTGCCAAATGCATGAAAACAGAAGGTGGCTCTTAGAACTGAGACATGGCCAAGAGCTCTTTTGATTGGAACCCGAGGAAAAGCTGCTGTTTCTGACAAGATTTTAATTGCCCATTTATAATTGAAGTGCTGAGGACCACTTGGCAGGGCCCATAGCAACAGGCTTTGACTGTGACTGTGCCATGGGAGAGTCCGGATTGGTCACCTTCATGGACACCCTCTCTGATTAGATTAGGCTAGGCCTCGTAGATGGTAGGACAGGGAGGCAGCCAATAGGCCTTTCTTGTTGCTGCCTGTTGTAGGCAGAGGCTCATCTACTTTCCAGGTTCCCTAGGGACCCAGAGTTAGAGGCACCATCTTGGAACAGCTCTGCTTAGAACTTATTTCATGTCAGCAGGTTGGGTGACTGCCACTGCCTCAGCATAGTTCACTGGCCCAAACCAGTCACATGGCCCCCCTGGCCTGTGAAATGCTGAGGCAAGTGCGCAGGCACGGGCGTCTGTAGGGTCTTTGCTCCTGCCTTCAGTCAGGGGCTAAGGGGTATGGAGAGGTCTAAGGCGAGAGTCCAGAGTTGAGGGGGACTCATTGAGAGTGGGGGAGACTAGTGAGAAGGGAAGGGATTGGAAGAAGTTCTGAGGTCGGGGACAGTGTTGGCTGTAGACCCAGTAGCTTAGTGCCAGCTCTGGCCGACCTAACCCCAGTGGGGATGTGATGGGGAGGGCTGAGGACAGCAAGCGAGGTAGAAATAGGGGCAGAATGCCAGTGAGCTGAGTCCATGTATGCTCCCCAGGAGCTACCGCAAAGCCCTCAGGAAAGGACCAGGTGAGAAGGGTGGGGGCACTTGACCCCCAGCTGTGGCTGCTGCTCCCTGGAGGCAGGAGGGCCACAGAGCACACAGCCTTGAGTCAAGCACTGGCTCCGCCCCTTACCTCTGTGACTGAGACACATTGCATAGCCTCTGAGCCTCAGTTCCCTCGCCCACAGAGTGAGAAGGTGGCAGACTCAGGTCAGGAGTGGGCTAGTGGAGAGCCAGGATGATGATGAGGCTTTTCCAAGCTCCCATTCTAACTTCCCACGGCCTCAGTTTCCCTCTTCTAGTTCATGTATTTGTAACTTGCCTGATCATAGGCTGTGACTGATGTTGCCTCGTTCGTTCGTATGTGTGTGTATGCGTGTGTGTGTGTGCGTGCGTGTGTGTGTGTGTGTGTGTGTGTGTGTAAAAGGAAAGGACCAGTGCTTACCAGAGCCCTTGCCCCTGGGACCAGGCTCTGCTAGCTTATCAGTTAGCTGTTGGTGTGTAACACACTGCCCCAAAACTTACTTGATTAAAATAGCAGGTTTGATTTGCTCTAAGATCTGTGAATTAGTGCTCTGGACTGGGTTCTGCAAATGATTGTTCTGTTGGTCTCTCCTGGCCTTCAGGGGCCCGGTGGGTCAAGTAGGAATGGGAGGCCTTACATGACCTCACTTGCTGTTTGTGGTCTGCTCACCCCTCCTTGAGGAGATAGTCTGGCTACTTTATCTGGTAGTCTGGAGGGAAGGTTGGAGTAACAACTCCATCCTTTTGGAAGATGAGAGAAACTATCAAGCTGTACCCACCAGTATGGGACAAAGGTTGCAGCCTTCTGTATGAACAGTGTGCCCAGAGAGGAATGTGGATGGATATGAACATACATGCAAATCTATACAGCACACACGAACATACGTGCAGATCTGCACAGCAGGAGCACAGGGTGTTAGGTAGAAGGCCCCCAGGAGGTGACTCAAGTGTCTTTTGGATGTTCCACATCTGCTGGTCAGACCCTAGGCCAGCACTGGCCTGTGAGTATTGTGGAATTCCAGCATTGAGTGAGGCTGGCCTGGCCCCCGTGGGGTGGGGTTAGGGCATCAGAGTGAAGGGGGCAGACCTTGGCCCAGTCTTAGCTCAGTGGCTGAGCAGGGTTAGAGGGAGGAGCTGGAGAAGGCCCCCTTTCCTCTTGTCCTCTTCCTCCTCCAGCCTGATGCTGAGGGAGAGGGAGAGCCGGTGCCTGGGGCTCTGGCCTAGCACTGAGGATGCCATGTTGTCGGGATAGAGGCTGTGCTGTGTTTTCACACTGCGTGTGCGTGGAGCTCAGGGAAACTCCAGTGGGTAGTGCAAAGTCCTGCAGGTGCTGACTCGGCCACCATGGAGCAGTGTCCTGTAATGGCCCACAGGACCTGGCGCCTATGGGGGCAGAGAAGGACTCCTCACAGACATGCTGTTGCTTTTGCCTGGGTGTAAAGGTTTAGAAGGCAATGAAGTCACACAGCCTCTGTCCATGTCTGTGGTCTTTTCTATCCTGGGCGTTGGTGGCTCAGCCAAGGCTGGAACCAGTGAATAAATACCCTGTGTTTCCTGCAGGACTCTGCCTGGGTAGAGGAGAAGCAGGTACTCATGAGGACAAACCAGGACCTGCTGGAGAAGGTATGTCTAGGCGAGAGCCTCAGGCCCGGTGCTGAACTGAACTGCAGAGGTCACCCACCTGCCCTGAGCGCTTAGTATACCACCAACGCCAGAGACCCATAGCTGGGTGGTTCTCACAGGAAAGGTGTTGTCCCCACTGCTGGCAGGACCAGACGCAGGGTCTGTCCTCCGGGACAGGTCTCAGAACCTTTAGGGTGCCTCCAGGAACAGGAAAGGCTGCCTGTCACCCCAGCATTGGACTTTTTGCTATTGATTTGGGATCCAGAGCTGTCCTGTTCCTCATGGGGGCACTGGAAGCTCTTCCCAGGCTGGCCTGTGCTCTCAGTATGATCAAATGTGATCCTAAGAACTTTATGGGGGAGAAGGAGACCTAAAACCCCCACGGGTCCTGCCATAGCACTGGCCACAGCTGACCCTGAGGCCTAGCTTGCAAGGGCCTGGAGGGCTCTGGGAGCTGAAGCTTCCACATTGCACTCTGGCTTCCCTCACACTGGTCTCAGGGAGGGACTTGATAGCCCCAAGTCTCGGTTCCCCATCACTCATTGGTTCAGCAGAAATACAAGGAGCTTCTAGTGTCCCGGTCCAGGCTGGGTGCTAAGGCGGTGAAGCCAGCCCAACATCTCTCCCTCATCCCAGGCTCACCAGCAAATGGACTTGTGGCCAGCCTTGCCTTTTCCCTGGGTGGGCAGTTCCCCATTTCTCTAAGGTCACCCACCAAAGTTGGCTCCTAGTCAAGGGATCCCTGGGGCATGGGGGCAACCATGGAGGCCGTTAATGTAAAGGTGTCTTTGCCCCAGATTTACAGGCTGGAGATGGAGGAGAACCAGCTAAAGAGCGAAATACAAGACGCCAAGGACCAGAACGAGCTGTTAGAATTCCGAGTGCTAGAGCTCGAAGTAAGAGACTCTCTCTGTTGTAAGCTCCCAAACGGAGCAGACATTCTCTTTGAACCCAAACTGAAATTCGTGTAAAGCTCCCTGCCATTTCCAAGCATGCGTGAAGGGACCTGTTACCGTTTCTCTCCTTCCTTCCTCCGTTCTTTTCTTCTTCTTCTTCTTTTTAAAAATTTGTATGTTCGGGATAACTTCACTGCCTTAATGTGTCCTGGGAGGATGCTCGCGACGTCTGTGGACTTGTACCAGAGCAATCTATTTATTGCCTACCGCTTGTTTTGCACTTAATAAAATAAGTTGTTTTTGCAATATTTTGCCTTTTTTATTTGTGTTTCATTTCCATAACTACTTTCCTGCATGCACAGTCCCTGGGTGTGCCTTCCGCAGCCCCAGACGGCAGCACTGTTGCAATGGAGAACACACCTTTGATCTTGCATGCAGCAGGCCTCTCCTGAGATAGCAGGGTCAGACCCAGCCGGCTCTTGACCCCTGCTGTGTTTAATAGCAGTGCGGGCCTATTTTCTGCCTGCCAAAGCGAATGCAAGGTAAGTGGAGGCAGGCAGGAGGATGTATTTACACTGGTGTTAACCCACTCCTTCGCTCAAACCCTCTGGCCAGTAAATACGGACCTGGGCTCTGCAGCCACTTGAACTAAAATTATTTGTGATTCGAATTGCAACTACAAACTCCCAGACACTGCGCTTATAGAACCCTTGTCCCTCTGGGAGCCCCACAGGGCAGTGAGTAGGACTCTGGAGGGGCACCGGGGAATCTGTTGCTCCCCGCCCCATCCTGCATCCTGTGTGTTACAGCATTGCTTGGCTCTCACAGCCCTTCATCCTCCCCTTCTGTTTCTGTTCAAAAGCCATCGGCATCTTACACATCTTTCCATCCGTGACGCGTCTCCACCAGGCTCTTGTGACTGTGCACTGCTTCTCCAGCTGATACCTTTGCATGAGTGACTCCATCCACGTGGGCGCCTCCACCCGTCTGTGGCACCTCTGCTCTTGTTTTCCTTCCTTTGTCGTGGAAGCTCTGTCTGTGACCCGAACTGTGTCCTGTTGACAAGGATGGGCCGCGTGGCGCGTGGCTTTCGCCTTCCGGTGTCGCAGTGTCCCTCAGCTCTAGCCTTTACTCATTCATCAGGAATCGAAAGTCCCGAGGTCATGCTTAGTACCCTGCCACTGTGAGAATGCCTTCTACAAGTCCTTTGCGTGACCCCCTTTCTTTCCCCCGAGAGCTCCACAGATACTGTGTGCTTTCCCACCGCCTTCAGAACCACTGGGAAGCAGTTTCACGACTTTGTTCATACAAAATAGGGGCAGTTCCGACCCCCCCCTTCTATGAAAAGCCTACCCAATAGCACCTCTGGTGGCAGCTGTGTGGGAGAAGTAAGCAGCCTTAGCCTCCTTGGCTGATAGAGCAGTATAAAGTGAGGTGAGCCAGCTCGGGCCTTCCCGGAAACTCAGGGAACAGCCCCTCCCCTCCCCTCGAGCCTCGCTCATGCAGGAACAGTGTGTTGGGGCATGCTTTCTAGGGTCACAGCAGTCTCCATTACTTCTCTTGCTTGTGTTATGAAGGGGTCCTGGGTCTGTAAGTTCTTTCTACTTAATTTCAGCTCCTCCCCCCCTCCACGGCAGCTTGATTTGAGGCAAAATCTGAGAGGGTTTTTCTGTGCTAACCGGTCACGACTCATCCACCAGTGTCACGGGCTTAAAGCCAGCTTCATGTAGAGAGCGTGCTAGAGACTTGGGTACTGTTCTACCAACATGATGCTGTAATCTAAGCAATGAGGCTCCCTCAGGCCTTTTACAAAATGCTCACATGGTAGATGCCTGATGAATGTCTCTTCTGGGACATCCGGCTGTAAATCTGAGGGGGCGGAGAGGCTGGGGAGTGGTCATGAATCTTGTTAGTGTGGATCAAAGGGAAAAAAAAAACCAAACCAAAAGAGTCTGTGAGCTGAGTCACCCATTATGGGAAGCAAGGAAAGTCAGAAGTGGGCCCAGTTCTGCCGCTTACTAACAGGGGCCCTCAGACTCAGCATTCCTAAGCCTCCATGGGCACATGCCTTATGAGGCAGCCTGGATATCAGATGGGATAATGATGTATCCAACCTAGAATAACCCACAGTGGTGGCTGGCTTCTGATCCCCATTGAATTTGATGCACTGTATTGATCAAGCCTCACCTTTGTAACTGCTGGGGTTTGGATTGCAACAGACAGACCCGTGAGGCCGTATTACCTGTTTCTCCCCAGCAATAGGCAAGAAGCAACGTGTGCAGAGAGGCCACTGGCCCTGGAAAGGCAAGAAGACATCACACGTCCCATAGCAGGACTGTGTGGTCTAGATGTGTGCTGTGTAGTTGCACCTTAGCCAGCCGGAATATGTCGCTTTTTGCTGATGACTTGGGAAAATGGCAAGAGGTGGATAGCACAGTCGAGTTCTGTCTTTAAACCACGTCTTTTCCCCAGGAGAGAGAGCGGAGGTCGCCAGCCTTTAACCTCCAAATCACCACCTTCCCCGAGAACAACAGCAGCGCACTCCAGCTGTTCTGTCACCAGGAAGGAGTAAAGGTAGCATGTTTGGGGGGTGGGGTATGCCCCCAAGGACCTGCCATTCAGGGGCGGGCTAAGTACCTGGTGTGGTGGTAAAGAGGGATTGCACCATCAGGTCAGGGACAGGGCCTTCTGCTGCTGTGTTGAAAGACAGAGAGGGGTCACCAAGTGTCACCCTTTACTTCTGCCCAACTACAGGCAGACTACAAACCCAAACTAGCAACTGGCTGTCTCTTTTTTTGCAGTGCCCAGCCTATAACAAGGGCTTTGTTGGTGGTAACTGTGGTTGGTCACAGACATGGAGCCCCACTAGACCTCACAGGCAGAACCTTCAGATTCCCGTGAGAAGCAGGGTTGTCCTGTAGTGAATCTCAGTAAATGAACCATAGCAACGCCTTCCCCCGCCTGCTTCAGCAGAGCCAGAGGCTGGGCCCCCGCCGTGGCGTCAGAGCCAAAGGAGGCATGTAAGCCCGGACTCTAGGATAGCTGTGGATTGTGTGAGCAGTTTACATGAGAATGAACGTTGGAAATCTTTTCCAGGGTGTGAATATCTCTGAACTTATGAAGAACTTAGATATCCTTGGCGATAACGGGGTAACTATGAGCGATCGGTTTCTGGTTCTGTGTTTGATTGGGGTATTCTGTGTGACCTTGTTTTGTTTTTAATTTTTCCTTGATTTAAAACATCTGAGAAGTACAATGGAAGGCTTTTGTATGGCTATATTCCCATGTGGGTGGTTGGGTTATGTTTGTCAGAGTGGGGTTCTGAAGTGAGGACAGCTTTACACTCTGTGAGTGAACAGGGGACCAACAAGCCTAAAGACAAATTGATTCACAGAAAAAGGGTCCCACTACTCAAGTTAAAAATACCAAGGTTAAAAGGTGATCTCTTTGCCTTGCATAATGATCATCTTTAAAGAGGCAGGCACCATGTCCCATCCCCAAACCTTGGTGCCACTCTGTGAACTGTCTCCACAGAGGGGCTGGAGCTGTTTGCCTCAGATGGCTGACCCCTGATGTTGAGTGGGGGCTGATCATCGGGGTGCACCCCAAAGGGGCTTGGTGCAGACTTGTCTGCCCTAGACTCAAATCCCAGTGTCAATGCCCTTGCCCGTTTTTGTGTTGTAGAATTTGAGGAATGAAGAGCAGGTTGCAGTAATCCAAGCGGGAACTGTGCTTGCCCTGTGTGAAAAGGTAGACACGGGAGTGTCCTTGTGCTCACATTTTGTCCCAGCACCCAGTACCATATCAGAAACTGTACATTGGTGTGTCGCTTTATTTGGAAGCATGTGTGTGGGTCAGTCTGCGTCTGCATGTACACATGCATGCCTTTGCGTGTTCACGATGAAGGACCACACATGCTCACTGCAGAAAAGCCTCGAAACCCAGGAAGAAGATGCCCCTGTCCCAGGAAACAAGCTATGACATTTGCTTTATTTCCTTTTGGTTTCTCCAATGTCCATTCTTTTTTTGGCATAGTCAACATGCTGTATTTCTCTCCTGCTTTCTAAGCCATTTAGAGTGGCTCACAAATATGTATTCAGATAGCACTGTCTTTCCTTCACAGTTACCCACAGAGAACCTCACCACCCCTTAGTGATTCAGTGTCCAGGGAGTGCCCATCCCTTCCTGTTTACCAGTGTGCCCTGGAGGGACACCTTCACAGTACATGTCTATAGGCATTGGAGAACCCATCTATAGTACATTCTGGAATAGGAATTCTGGCTAGATAGTAAGACCACTTGTCAGGGTTTTTGCAGGGTCAAAATGGTTTCTAGAGCCATAACCTGAAACTTTGGCACATGGTTGATTTCCACACTCAATATGGCTGTCACTAGGAACAAAACCATGGGAAGTTGGTAGTTATCATTGTATAGTGTTTAAAGATTCCAGTGTGCCTTGTGCATTTTCTTCTTTCTTGTCTGTCCATCCATCCATCTGTCCGTCCGTCCGTCCGTCCATCCATCCATCCATCCAGTCATCACATCAGCATTTGTTGTAACTGTTCCTTCTGTATATGCTTTGTGTATATTAAAGAGGTTAAATTTTGTCTGTTTATTTTTAAAGAATACATGCTGACTCACATTCCTCCCACAGTGTGACTGTGATCCTGAGATGCACGCAGCTTTCTAGTGTGCATGCAGTAGAGTCTTCCCTGCAGGTCTTCTCCTTTCACACCAGTCAGACTCTGAAGGGCCACTTTTGAAATGATGAGGTCTTAATGATCTTGATTGAACTCCGTCTTCCATGATCTTCAGAAACTTAAAATACAGTTTTCTCCCCTGGGGGCCTATCCATTCCCCAAGCCCCAACCAAGTAAAGGACATAAATTCATTGAGAGAAAACACTATGATGGTGCCTTGCCCAAGGTCTCATGGTCCTTATCTGGCCAAGTTTGCTTTCTCCAGTGGATGGTGGGTCAGTGAGTCACACTTGGATGGCTGATGGTTCATGAGGGGCAAGTGTCTGCCACCATGCTAGGCAGATGATTCAGTATATGACCCCTGGCATCAACAAAATCAAATGTGGTCTTGCAGCCTTTCATAACAGGCCATACTATAGAGTCACCCAAGTGCTGACTAACAATACACACCCCAGTATGTCCTACATTGACATAGCCTGTTAGTCCCGGGGGCCTAGCGACTCTCTGGAGTATGAGGAAAGGCCACCTTTGCATGCTCCCTAGCTACCACGGAGGCCGCTCCTAGTCTGAGCCTTGGCTTCACCATTTGCTCTTCCAGGTTCTCAGGATTTGATGAACAGAATAAGAACTGTCTTTGGCTTGGGGTGGCTGGCCCACAGTAGACAAGTGGACAATTGTAGGTACTGGTTCTCCAGCCCCTGGAATTGTCCCCCAGGGGCAGGGCTGTCCTAGTGGAAGGTGGGGAGCTCACTGGGAACAGACGTCAGGCAGTACAGTTTCATGACACTTCTTCTCACGCCTGTCCCGGCAGCTGTGCCAAGTCCAGCACCCTAGCACCTTAGGGCCACTAAACTTCTTGCATTCTCTTACAGAGGAAGAAATGGGGCCTGTCTGGCATCAGCTACACTCTGCTTGCCCTCCTTTGCCCACCTCTGCCTGCACTCTTCTCACTTTTACCAGCTTCCTGCTAGCTGACACCCATCTGCTCTGTCAGCCATCACCTCACCATGCTGGCCTACCTGTTCCACTCTGTGTCCTAAATACTAGAGAATGCCCTGGCTGCCTGGCCCTCAGTGCCCCATGAGAGCAGACAGCAGGGGATCCATGGATATCTGTGGGTAGAACTCTGAGTGCACGGAAGAAGCATCAGGCTGGAGGCTGGAGACTGGAGACTGGCCTTCAGCTGGTTCTCCTCAGACTTGGCTCTGCCAGACCCTGGTTCAGTCTTTTGCCTGTGAACTAAAGTAAATCCTGTGTGTTTACTGCTGCTAATCTCCTCCCTACTTGGAGAAAATGTCCAAGAATAGGGGTTGGATCTGGGTGGGAGCTGGGTCATGAGTCCTTTGAGAATGCTGACGGACAGCTGTGTGACCAGTATAGCCCTCACTAGCGGGGACATGGAGGTGCCTCAGATGTGGACAGTCGAGAGCAAGGAGGGACAACTGACTACAGAGAGGACAATTTGCACGACAGTGCCTTTAGTATGAATGTCAGAGAACTTGGTTAGGGACCCGGGAAGCTCTCCCCTCCTAACATACCTCACAACAAACAAACAAACAAACAAACAAACAAACAAACCACTGTCACTCAGTACCCAGTGAGCCCAGCCCAATTCTCCCTTAGCAGCACGAAGGCCATTTCTTGGTGTGCCGGCAAAGTGTATCCCAGTCTGGACAGGTGGTCCTTTGTTCCTGTGATGGTCTCTTATCAAGCAGCCTCTCTCCTCCTGCCCCCTCAGAAGCTTGGTCAAGCTCTGGGCTGTAGATAAAGTCCCACCAGACTCTCTCTGATCAGGTTAACTGAGCACAAGTTATCATGCTTAACCTTGACCCAGGTTCGAGCCCACAGAGAGGCTCAAATTTAAGACATAAAGCGGCGTGGCCCACCTGTGGCTCCCAGTCAAGCATACTCTTCTCCCTCAAAACCCTTTTCAAAACCCTCTGAAAAGTAGGCATAGAGCTCAGGAAGATGAAAAACATACTAAAAACTAAAACCAAGATAGCAACAAAAAAATCTCGCTATGTTATATTCTCTCTGTGAGCCATGGGTCAGAGGACAAGACCTAGCTAGACCTTCAGCCACAGCAAAGCTTTCTGAGTTGGCCTGTAGTCAGTATAGAGGGAGGGGAGAGTAGCCCCACCCCCACTGCAAAGCCCCTCCCCCCCAGGCTCTGCAGCTAATGATCCCTGGCATGAGATGTACTCATAAGACATCCAGTTTCTGGAGCTTCCCCAGTGGACAGGCTCGCTTCTTTCCTGTCCAGCAGAAGCAGTCTCCCCAAGGAGTGTGAGGTCCGCAAACAAACGCCAGCCAGCTCTCTGAGCCTGCTCTGTTACTGTCCATGGTCCTGAAAAGGGCGTGTGTCGTTCAGAACAGGAAAGTATCCCTAGGACCCCTTCCAAAAATGTATTTCATGCTCACATCAGGCTATTAAAAGCACAGCATTCTAAATTCCTCAACAGAAACATTTATCCTTCTCACAAGAAGCTAAACAAGCTGTGTGAGGAGGAGCTGCTTGGCATCTGTCTGCCGCTGCTCAGGGCCACGCTGACCTTGATGTTGTGGGAGGAATCTCTGACCATGGCTTTCACACCTCTCTCTCCCCTTCCACCCACATCCATGCTGGGCCTCCTCCACCCCACAGCCCTTTATTTGTAACCTCCTGTGTGCTTGGCTCTGCTGTTTCCCACCTTTGGGTGGCTGGTGGAAATTGAAATGACTGATCTGGTCATCATGTGAGCACCAGGACAAGATGAGCCTGTGGCCTCAGAAAGCAGCGTGGGCTTGCTGGAGGAGAGGGTAGAGCTAGCTTGAGATTGGTGAGCTGGGTGGATGCTAGCTTGACAATGGCCTGGGTCTGATGTTGAGGATGGAGATGCTGATGTCTGAGCAGCGTGTGCCAAGGCCCTGAGGTGAAAGGTGACTCACTCTGGAGCCCTGAGGTGAAAGATCTGTGCACTCTGGAGCCAGGTGCACTTCAGACAACTATGATACATGTGGCTTTGGTGAGGGGGCAGTGGGTGGGGATGGAGAATCAGCACCTCAGTGTAAGTCCTGTCTGGCCTAGAACCCATGTGTAGACCAAGTTGGCCTCGAAATCATAGATATCTGCCTGCCTCTGCCTTCTGAGTGCTGGGATTACAGGTGTGTGCCACCATGCCCGGGCAGACTCAGGTTCTGAAGGCCGGCAGAGCCTACTGAGGGACCATAGTGATCCTCAGAGGGGACCATGCTGTGTTGGCTTTGTCTGTGTTGTCAGAAGTAGAGGATGTGAGAAAACCTCCACAAGGCTGTGCCTGCAGTAAGGGTTGGGGCACCCAGTAGAGTCCATCATGGAGTAGGCACTGGGTGGTGCTCTGACCTGGGTGATGAACATGGGGAGGGAGTGTGGTGGGTCTGAAAAACAGGAAAAGAGCACAAAACACAGCATGGAGTGTCTGGACAGGGTGAGGCTCTCGAGGGCTGAGGTAGAGCCTGAAGGGCAAGGCGAGCTTTAGAGCAGGTTCATGGTGGTTAAGTTGGACCTCAGAGCTGTGGCCAGAGGAGAAGGAAACCAGTGAGTCCCGGGAAGCTATGGGAAGCCTCAGTCTGAAAAGAGGCACAGTGTCACGGGGCCAGACTGCAGCGCATCACAGCTAGAAGATCAAAATCATAATTCATACTCAGGTTCAAATCAACGAAACCCGAATACTCCTGGGTACCTTTGACACCCCCACCCAACCCCAAAGTTAGCCTAGTGACAAGGTTCAAATCAATGAAACCCGAATACTCCTGGGTACCTTTGACACCCCCACCCAACCCCAAAGTTAGCCTCGTGACAAGGACACACTGTGTACCGACATCTGTCCAGACCGAAGGCAGGTCATATGGCAGCCATCAGTGTGTGCTTCATGTGGTCTCTGGCATGTCTGAGGGTCCTCCTGGCTCTTGTCCACTTTCATGCCCTTGTTTCTCCACCCTACATGCATGTATCCAGCTCCTTTCTGCATCTTGCTCTCACAGCACGCCTTGGAAGTATCATGGGAGTGGCTTCCCTGTCTTGCAAGCTGGGTAGTATACCCGCTAGTTCACTGCTGTGTGACTTTGAACAAAGACTTAATGCAGTCTTCATGTCTTCACCTGAAAAAAATGGAGTTGCTGCTTTCCCCTGGGGTGGGCATGGGACGGTCATTGGGGGGTCACATGGATGACACACAGGCCTTCCAGCTACTGTCCACCCATGCACCTACTTAAACAGCCCTGATGGCACACACACAGCCACAGCCATGCACACACACAGCCCTTTGAATGTGTATCATTCCTCATCCTGAGCAAATGCCCGTATACAAATACTGGGTTACAAGGCCCAGTCCCTCTGATCCCCCGACCCCCGGTGTCCCTGCTCACTTGCCTATGTCCTCCTATCCTGCTGTTTTCTAGTGGCTGAAGCAGATAGAGGGAACAGAGGCAGCCCTCACCCAGAAGATGATGGACTTGGAGAAGGAGAAGGTAAAGATTCCACCACCTGAGTCAGGGGGCAGGATGGAGAGCTAAGGTGTTTGGCTTTTTGGGAGGCTCAGTTCCATTGTAGTTCTTCAGCCCTTGTGGGTCCTCTGAGCCATCCCCCACCCATGTGGGTCCTCTGAGCTGTCTCTGTTCTCTCCCTTCAGCCCCTGTGGGTCCTCTGAGCCATCTCCATTCTCTTACTTTCTTACTCATCCAGTTTTCAACTTAACACTCATTTCTGAGTCTGTGCCCCCATCCTGGACTCACAGGCCCTTGAGTCACATGACTGCAGCTTGAGACGTTTAGAGACACAGCATGACACACAGGAGCTTACAGTTGGAGTCTTTACAGGATAGCCTGGGGACCTGGAGTTTGTCCTCCCTGGTTATATACTGGGTTCTTTAATGCAGACCTGACTGGATTGTGGCCATGAGGGGTGCTATGCCCATGAGTGCCCTACTTGTGGGAGACATTGTCCTCAACCCAGAGAGGTAAGAGAAGCCATTCTAGAAGTCCTGGCTCTGAAGCCATCTAATACCAGTGTGCATTTCAAGTTCTCTTGAGAGCTCAATAAAGGAGGGGCCATCACACAGAGCCAACGCAGGACGTGGTGTCCAGAGAGTCCTGGGCAAACCTCAGAACCTGGGTTTCTAGTTACCCCTATCGTCAGTGGCACCATGGACAAGGCACTGGTCTCCTTGGCCTTCTGTTTCCTCATCTATAAAATTCAGGGGCTGCAATGTGAGTTGTGGCTCTAAGCCCTCATGGGTGTAGAATGGGACATGCAGTCTGCTCAGATGAGGCCCATGTAGAGGGAACCAGAGGCCTTCAGGGATGTATAACAGTAAGATCCATGGGAGGAGGGAGCGCAGCCTGGGCAGAGGATGCACTGCACCTGAGACCTGGACAGAGGATGCACTGCATCTGAGAACTGTTAAGACAATCTTCACGGTCCCAGGCCATAGCTCAGGGACTTGGGACTGTTATCAGCTACCCAAGAGGAGAGGGAACTGGAGTGAGGGTCATTCTGATTAGGCTTCTCCTGGACAGTCCAGGCAGCCCAGGGCAGCGAGGTCTCTGCAGGGAGTTCACACAGGGCAGTCAAGGCCTCCCCACCCCCAGCCCTGAGTCCTACTGGGCAGACTCCGCCTCCCTGCAGCTGACTGGCTCTGGCCAGGCTCCTAATGATGCTCCTCTCTTCCAGGACTTGTTCAGCAGGCAGAAGGGCTACCTGGAGCAGGAACTGGACTACAGGAAGGAAGCTCTCGACCAGGCCTACCTGGTAGGACCAGAAGTGGGTTTGACACTTTGGATTTCTCCTCTCGGCCTTAGAGGCTGCTTCCTACAGGCAGCACGCCAGGTTCAGGGTACAGTGCTGTGCCCTCTGCACACATAACTAGAATGACAGCAAGCAGTCAGGTGTTCCAGATGAGCCATAGGTCTTACAAAGAGTTGGTGACCTTGTTGTTTTTGTTGTTGTTGTGTGTGTTTTGACTAGCTTACTAAACTAGCAGTCATTTGAGCTGAATGAGTAAAGGCTTTTGTATATGCATTTTGATTCATAAACGTTTATTTATCCTTAAAATTCCAAAGGAGCTGGTGATATAGCTCAGTTGGTAGCATACTTGCCTAGCACACATGAAGCTCATTGAATCCCGAGTACAGAGTAAGCCAGGTATGGTGGCACCTGCTGGTAATCCCAGCACACAGGTGGGGGCAGGAGGATCAGGAGTTCTGTGTCATCCTCCACTATGTAGTGAATCCCAGACCAGTCCGAAAAAAAAAATCCCAAAGCAGATTTCCTAAGTAGGAAAAGGAGACAGTCCTGAAAGACCAGAGAGGTGAGGTGGTGAGCTGTGGCCAGATACCCCAGAGCAAGTGGGGAGTGTTTTCAAGTTCTTGAAACATTGTGTGCTTCTCAAGAGTCTGGGCGTCCTGAAGTTTGAGGTTCGGGTTCAGATGACCTTACACTCAAAGCCCCAAGTCACAGCACTAAGAGCTGTTCTTCCTTGTGGGTGGGCATATCAAACGAGGTTGTGGACATTTCCAAGATGTACCCATGGTGGAGGGAGGGACAGTGCCACTCTGTGTAGGAAGCAGCTGGTGTCCTTGATGCTCAAGTGAACCTTTGCCCAGATTGCAATCAAGACATGCAGGGTGAATAAGGAAACATGGAGGCAGAGGCTAGCCCACCTCCCTGGAAACATGGAGGCAGAGGCGAGTCCATCTCCCTGTAGTGGCTCAGAGGCAGCTCTTGCAACAGCAAATCTGACAAGACACAGCTGTTTTAGTGGCTTTTTGCATCAGAGAGATGGAAGACCTGAGAATTTTACAGGAAGGATTTCCTTTGGCTTGTGATTTCAAAGGTGTCGAAAGCACTTTTGTTCATAGCATAGGGGCAGGAAGCAGAGAAAGGAGCCATAGGAAAGGGCCAAGGCAAGATATGTCTGGAAGAACTCACCTCTAGTCACTTATTTCCTCCAGCATGGTCCCACCTCCTGCCTGCCATCACCTCTCAGTAATGCTTCCCATCCAGGGAATTAACCCATTGATGAGGTCAGACCCTCAGGATCGCATCTCCAGAAATGCCGCCACAGACATCCACGAAGCAGCGTCTTCCCCTGTCACGCCTGTCTCTTGTCACGTGATATGGCGGACACCAGCATGGAGGGCAATGGCTGAGCGAACACACTCTGGTCTCTGCTCTGGCTCATCTGCCCAGTTCTCCATTTTGATTTTCCTTCACCCTCATCCAGCTTTGGTCCTTGTAAACAGCTATGGAGATCACACCCGCACTGTCCAGCACGGCCTTTCAAGCATGCTTAGCAGCTCTAAAGGACACTCCTCAGAGATGCTGCAAGGACTTAGATGCCCCCAAGGGGAGCTACATTAGGTGGAAAGCTGAGGGTCCTGATCCTAAAGAACTCACACTGTGCCAAAGGGCAGCTGTGGTGCTGAGAGGGGAGGAGGCCAGCCCTTTCCAAGTGCTGTGGCTCACTGGGGCCTCTGCAGAACAGCTGGTGCCCAGTTATCTTCTGATGACCGTGTGCAGGCAGGCTCAGGACCTCGGGCATGCTGGCTCTTGGAAGGTATTCCTACCTTATGACCCTGGTCCCCGTAAATGACACATCCATCCCTGAAAAGTGCCATAAGCTGCGAGTGGGCAGGATGCACCCAGAAGGATTTCAGTCTTGGGAGATTTGAGACAATTCTCACAAGGCACCAGGTTCACTTTGAGCCTGGCCAGTGATCCGCTTACCTCCTGCATCCAGGCTGGGGAAGGGAAGGTGCTCAGTGCATGCCTGTCTCCCTTTGTCGTGGTGTGGAGTGAGAAGTAGGTGAGATAGGCCCACAGTGGCATCTAGGTGTGGAGGTGGGGGCCAGTCTGGAAGCTGGCAACCAGAGGGTTGCTGAATGGAGAGGTGTGAACCAGAAGTCAGATGAGTTCCTGTCCCAGTGGAGCCCAGACAAAGGCCATATGGAATCCCACGGCTCTGCCTTCCACTTTCACAGAGCCAAGACCTGGAGAGAAGGTGATAGTGTCTGTGGTAAATCATCAGGACCCAGCAGGGCTAGGATCTGTCTAGGAAGTCAAAACAATGCTGCACGGGGTGGGGCTGGTAGAGCCTTGCTTGCTGCTCTGCCTCATAGCAGGATGGGTTCCTTTACATGGTTATGGCGTTTCTTAGCAAGGGGTGAGGGGCTTTGGGGAAGCAGGAGAAAGATAGTTTTTTCCTTCACCCCTAGGCACTATGGTAAGGTCACTCTTGAGTTTTCAGCAGGGGATCTGATGTTACTCCCAAAGAATTCAAACCCTGAACTCAGCCTGTGGGTCATGACCCCTTTGACAAACCTCTAACTCCAAAACAATTTATAGCATGACTCACAACAGTAGCAAAATTAGTTATGAAGTAGCAGTGAAAATAGTTTTATGGCTGGGGGTCACCACAGCAGGGGGAACTGCATTAAAGGGTTGCAGCATTAGAAAAGTTGAGAGCCATTGAGCAGTAAGCATCACAGGGGCAGCATGGGAAGGTCCCTCTGGCCAAGGCACACACTTGCTGCTCCCCTGGACCCTGCATGCGGACACTCCCTTCCTAGCGTGGACTCGAGCAGCACTGCTCTCCTGATAGCATGTGATTGTCTACCTTTTCGTAACCTCAACCGTCTGTGGTTTGGGCCCTGCAGAAAATCCAGGACCTGGAGGCCACCTTGTACAATGCGCTGCAGCAGGAACCCGGGAGAAGAGCCAGCGAGGCACTGAGTGCCAGCCAGCGCGAGGACCTGCAGGCAGCTGTAGAGAAGGTGCGCAGACAGCTCCTGCATCAGAGCCGGGAGTTCGACAGCCAGATCCTGCGGGAGCGAATGGAGCTGCTCCAGCAGGCCCAGCAGGTACTGGCGGTGGCCCCCACAGTGTCCTTTTCTCGTCCATGCCTCCAGTATACGCTGGGCCACTGATGACCCATTCCTCTGTAATGGAAACCTATTCCTCTGTAATAAGTCAAAAGAGAGTGTTCCTCTGGGGGCTGTCAGTGTGTCCCTCCTTCACAGCTTCTATGCTGGACCACCATAAAAGATAAAAGTTAGGTTTGGGACTTGGAAGTCTTTCTGACGCATGGCTTGATGTGTTTCAGAAAATCCGGGAGATGGAGAGCAAGTTGGAACTGCAGAGGCGCCAGCTGAAGGAGCTGGAGGAAAAGGTAGGTGGCTAGGAGTGCCAAGACTTCAGGCCTGAGATACAGGCTGGTGTCTGCCTGCCAGTTCTGGGTTTAAATCCGGGCTTCCTGTTCCCCCAAATCTCTCCAAGAAATCCAGGGTCCCCACAGGCTCTCAGGTAAAGATGCTGCCTCCTCAGTGACTGTAACAACTGGATCTGCCCCCCCAGCTTTGTGTGTGTGTGTGTGTGCATGTAAGTTCATATTTGTGTGCATGTGTTTGTTCCACAACCCACCCCAACCCCTCTGCTGCAGGTGATCTTAGAGCGAAAGGATCAGGCTAAACTGTGATGAGGCTCTCATGCCTCAGAAACAGCTGTCACCCATCTCCATGGATTCGCTCACTCTCTGTGATGCTCCTATGCAGAAAGCCAGCAAGGCTGGCTCAGCCTGTGGGTACCTGTGGGCTTAGGACTAGTTTGGGGTGATGTGATCAAGGCCAAGGTGGACCAGGACAATGACCCTCGGTCCCAGGAAAGAAGGCGTAGTGGTTATTTTCTCTCATTGCACTCATCAAATATACAATGAAAGCAGCTTCAAGGGGCAGGGGCTTATCCGTGCTCACAGGTCAAGGGGATACACTCATCATGGCTGGGAAGGTGAGGCAGCTGCCTACCATGAGGAAGCAAAGAGAAATAAAAGCTGATGTTCAAGTTATCTCCTCTTGTATGTATGTGTGTGTGCATGCTCACATGTATGTGCATGTGTGCATGATCACATGTGTGCGTGCTTGTGTTACATACTCATGTGTGTGCATGCTAACATGTGTGTACATGTACTGACATGTGTGGATGTGTGCATGCTCACATGTGTAGGTGCTGGGCAGGTGCATGTTTGTTCATATAACCATGGAGGCCAGAGTTGATGTCAGGTGTCTGTGACAGTCAACCTTAGGTATTGAGGTAGAGTCTCTTGTTCGACGTGGGGCTCACCAGTTCCGGCTAGTCTAGCTAGCCAGCTTGCACTGGGGATACTCTGACCCTTCCTCCCTCACACTAGGATTCCAGGCTGACTGCCATATCAGTCTGATTTCTGTGTAGGTGTTGGGGATCTGAACTCCAACCCTCATGCTTGGGCAAGCTTTTTACCCGTATCTCCAGCCATTACCTTCCCCCTTTTTATTCAATCTGAAACCCCAGTCCATGGAATGGTATCCCCTATGTATAGGTTAGGTCTGTCAACTTCAGTTAACCCACTCTAGAAATTTTCTTGCTGAGCATGGTGGTGCACGCCTTTAATTCCAGCACTTGTGAGGCAGAGGCAGGAGGATCTCTATGAGTTCAAGGCTAGTCTGGTCTACAGAGTGAGTTCCAGGACAGGCTCCAAAGCTACACAGAGAAACCCTATCTCAAAAAATCAAAAAGAAAAAGAAAAAGGAAGAGAGAGAGAGAGAGAGAGAGAGAGAGAGAGAGAGAGAGAGAGAGAAAATCCCGTATATGTGCTTAGAGGTGTGTGGTTCCCAGGTGATTCTTCAGTCTATCAAGTTGGTAATCAGTGTTAACCATCACAGAGACAGCCAGCGTCACCCAGTGCTGCTGCTGCCTTGGGCAGACCTCGAGACTACTTCAGGATCACACAGGCAAGGTGGCTCTACTGAGGCCATTGTCACCTCCTGTGATGATACCTGCTAACTGTGCATCCTTCGAGGACAGGGATGGAATTTCACCGTCTGTTCCTCCAAGGCAGAGAATGGAATGGTCTCAGACAAATTCATGAAGAACAGCTTATGCCACCGAGCAGGGCAGTAAGGTCAACCTTACCTCTGTGGGGTGGTGAGGACACTCTTCTGACTCAGTCTGGTTATGGCGGGGGGAGGCTAATGTGCCTGAGTAGACAACTCTATCTGGACCCTAAAGGTGGGGGCATGTAGAAGCCCAGAAAGAAAGAGAAGGCCACTTCTGGGCAGAAACATCCCAGGCCAGCTTGTGAGAAAGGAACGTGACTCTCCAGAGACAAAACTGGGACAAGTCGCTGGAAGTCAGTGGACAGCAGAGTTTGGGGCTCTTCATAAGTGGGGCAGCCTTCCTGGTGGCTATCAGATAGCACATATGGAAGAGACGGGGGAGAAAGAACACTCTTGAGACTCCGTATGGGACAGGTGTATTCTCTCCTATCTCCCTGGGAAGGGAAATTCAAACAGGCCAATCACCAGTCTCACCCTGTAGGGAGTTCCTGGGTGCATAGCTGGCTGTGTCTGCAGGGGGCGTCAAAAATCTGTGTCTAGGCAGTGGCTGGGTTCTCCCTCCACTTCCCTGACTGGGGAACCCTTTATGTGGCTGTCCTAGATCCTAGAGTCCCCATCGGACAGGTGCCCGGCCCTTCTCAACCCTCTAGGACTGTTGGAAAATCCCAAGGGGAATGCCAAGTTGAATCAACTGAGAACACTGTCTCCATGACTGGGCTCAGGACAACCTGAGATTCTGGCACCTTATATGGGAGTCTTCTTACTGCTCTGAGACTGAGGCTCCTTTTCTCCCTGGGCAATAGCAAGGAATCCATTAGAGGGCACGGGGTGGGAGTGGTGAACTCTGTCTGCCTTTCCATCCTTAGACACCTTGAGGGTCCCAGCCAAATATGACAACAATTGGTACAAACATGGCCACAGGGGCTGTTGCCAATTCAAATGTTAAAAGTGAGGGCATGGGAGACGGCTCAGACAGCAAAACGCTTGCTTTGCAAATGTGAGGACTGGTGTTTGGTCCCCATAACTCACATCAAAAGCCAGCTAGGTGTGGCGGTACAGTGTAAACCCAGTGCCGTGGAGGTGGAGACAGGCAGGCTGTCCTGGGGCTCACTGTCAGATAGTTCAGCCTCGCTGATGAGTTCTGGGCCAGTGAGATATCCTGGCTCAAAAGGCCAAAGAGGACAGTGCCTAAGGAATGACACTTGAGGTTGTTGTCCTCTGCCCTACATAACGTGCATGCACACCTGCACACATGTGGGCCCACATGCACACAAACATACATATACATACATGTATAATGTTGTCAAAACTCAGGCTGGTCAGGTGTACTGCCTATGCCTCCATGGGGAAGCACTGGGTCGTTGCTTGGATTGTTTTTCTGGTCTCTCAGATTTTCTCAGAGCTGATTTGTGGATGTTCCACCCCCATCTTCCCAGGAAGGTATAACAGGTCAAATATGCAGAAGAAGAGAGTGACCTGACTGCTGGATTACTGGCTAGCCCTGTGACTAGGGGTGCCTGCTAGGCCTAACTCACCTGTAGGTCCTCCTAGTCTCTCCCTGCCAGTGATCATGGGAAGCTGATCCCATCGACTGTGGCTTACTGATGATCCCTCCTTGCATGACCAGACTCTTACTCACAGTCCACTGGGTGGTCTCACCAAAACCCCCTCCTCCTGTGCCTCAGTTTCCTCATGTAGAGAAGAACATGAAGGGCTCCAGGATTACAGCGGCCCCTTTTAGTTCTTGATCCTAGAGATTCAACAGAAGAAAGCGGTGGCCATTAGTTGGATTTTCACTTTTCTCTACAATCAACTAAGAAACTATGACCTTGTTCTATGACCTTGTTTGGTGGGGTTACTTTTTTAATATCCCCAGATGACAGACAGATATGTTTCCTCTGAAGACTGGTGATTCTGTTTGGACAGGGCAAGTGCCCGAGTAGATTAAGAAAATAATATATATTCTTTTGAACTAACCAATGAGACTTTTCTATTTTTGTAAGGTTATTTTCCCAGCAGTGTTTTTCTTAAGTTGACTGGTGAAAAGGCACGCAATGTTTCAAATATAAACAAATCACTTGGAATGGACAGTGTAGGGAAGGGTCACTTGACCACAGGTCAGCCTGCATACCTCTCTTGTTGCTGCCCACCATAGCATATACTGGTGAAGCATAGCCATGACTTTGGGTGGGCCCTTCCCTTGCGTTGCCCTGTGTAGCCTTACCTTTATCCCTCAAAGTGTCTGTGCATGGCATACATGTAGGACACCTGATAAGTGTGTAGGGATAACCCGCCCAGCCCATAAGGCTGGAGAGAGCTGTCGGCTCCTGCAGTCAGCTTCCCTCCGCCCGTCTCTCTGCTGCCCCCTAGTGTTCTTGTAAGATACTGTCACTGAATTCCATACCACATCTCTCACATCTTTTTTTCTTTTCTTTTCTTTTCCTCGTTTTCTTTTGGTCTTATGTTATAGTTTTTGTTCCTTTTTTTGTTTTTCTCACTAGCATTCATTCTGTGGCCTTGATGACTCCCATGCGCCGAGAACTCGGGTGTGTATCCTTTACTTTCCATTGACTGATGCAAAGCTGCCTGAGAGGGGAGGTTGGCTCCCCTGGGAGACGAGGTGCCTGGAAGGCAACCTTGTTCTGAGGTCTCCCACTTCAGCCCCTTGGGGTCTGTGTAGTCCTGGGTCCCTGGGGTCTTGCTGTAGAGACACGTGACGGGGCTCATTGAGATAGACAGCCCCCGGGCATTTCACTCACAGAGCCGTTTATGTCCCATTCCCAAAGCTTCCTCCAGCCTGGCTTAGTTCCTGCTCTGTTGCCGTGTGCACATCTCCTGTCTTGTCCAAAGCAAGTGGCCTTCTAGGGCCAAAGAGCAGCAGGTTGATGGCCCAGTGGCTCATGAGGCTAGATCCTGATAGGACTGTACAGTGTCCAGGAGCCAGGAGTGCCCTGCTCCTCACCTCTGTAACTCAACCTGCATGGCCAGATATGATGGCCAATTATATTCAGAGACCCCAAGAATGAAGGCATTGGTATTGCCCTAGCTGTTGTCCCCTTGTACCCAAGCACCTAGCTCTTAACCGGAGTTCCTGCTTTGGGACCTCAGCTGTTCCACATTCTCTAGGCGCTGAGTGTTCATCCTTGGGCTGGTATCTGCCAGGACCTCTAAATTTTGGAGTCTTGACCTTGAAACCAACCTAAGCTGAGGGTTCTTAAACTCCAGGGTGCTCTTGAAGCCCACTAGATCCCTAGATGGTCCACCAAATGTCCTTAGGGATGTCTTTGACTCCGACACTAACCCACAAGGATTTAGGTTGGGTATCTTCTATGTCCCAGTGCCTGGGATATGGCCAGACATGTAGTGACTGGTCATTGTATGTAGAAAGAATGAAGGGGTGGCCTGAGGTGTGGGAGACAGCTCACACAATGCCCCAGTGATGAAGCCCTGGGGCTGGGGCTATCCAAACCCTGCTCTGGACAGCTGTCAAGAGAGGTCAGGATGGCAGGGGCTTGAAGATAATCTAGGGCCCCCTTCCCTCTTCTTAACACTTGACTTTTGTTTCACTTCAAATTATTCCTTACTCTTACAGGCTAGACAAAGAGCTTTCGGAATCACTTGAGTCCCTGTGGTGCCCCATCCTCACTCAGACCAAAATCCAACAGTGCAACAAGTTATTCGAAGTCCGGAGCCTGAACCCAGAACTTATGCACATTTGACAGTCACTTAAAGGGGAGGTCCGGGGACCTGGCCGACCTCTGCTGTGGAACTCTGTGGGACAATGGGGAAGCCTCCCCAGTGTCTCCACTGTGGCATCTTCGGGAGCCAAGGACAAAGGATCTGGATGGCAAGAATCTAAGTGCAATTAGCGGAAACCCAGGGCATGAGAGCTGCTGCCTCGGGGGATAGGTGCAGGCCTGTCCCCATGCTGTGTGCCTCCCTGAAGGTGCTATATGTGCCTAGATGGTTACAGACACCCCCTCTGCCCTATGTACATAAACCTCCATGGACTGAGTGTGCTCTTCTGGAGTCTGTCTGCCAGCGCAACCAACCAAACCTCTGGCTCTGTGCACAGCTGAACTTGTAGCTGGAGGCCAGCAAGAGAGAGCCCTGTGGATTGTAGATTTCTGAGGAAAACTGAAGGCTCCAACACTCTTTTAGGTGTGATACCGCAGAAGTCCCAGAGCATGGCCCTGCCTCAGAATGGGGAGGGGGTGAGGATTGAGAGAGCAGGCCCAAGCTGCCTGTTACAGTTTGTAGGGGTAGCCTAAAAAGGATCTCAGGCTGTTAGGGCAGAGCCCAGAGTCTCTGAGCTCAGCGGTCTGAGGCCAGGGGTACCCTTCTACTATAGAGAAAATACCATAGAGCTGAGGCCAGAGGTACCCTTCTACCATGAGCCTTCACTGCCCAGGATCCTTAGTAGAGAGTAGTCATCTCTTCAGGTGTTGGAGCCTCCCCAGAGCACAGTGGGTAAGATGGGGGTGGCACACCCTGGGTTCACTGGAAACTAAGTGCTGGAGGTTGACTTCCAGAGGAAATTACCTGAGAAGTAACTTTAAGATGCGCCTGTCAATCTAGGGCAGGTGGGATGGGTCACCTCCAAAAGGTATCTGCCCATGGCTATACTCTCCCAAACTTGGGGCACAGAGAATGTTAGCCGTCAGACTGGCAGAGTGGAAGACAGGCACGGTGGTGAGTCTGTGTGGGGAGCCTGCCATGAGTTTAGACTTGGCAGGGTGGCAGCGGGCTGTGTTGGACCAAGTAGGTGGCACCATGATTTCCTGGAAGCAGACAGAAATGATTGGAGTTCAGATCAGGCCCATCAAGGGGACTATGGAGCAGGGGCCTGACCTTGTAGGGAAGCCATATCCAAAGACAGAGAAGCAAGGACCGTGCTGTGTGTAGAAGGGAGCTGTCCAGACAGAAGGTCGTTCCAGCAGACGTGAAGTCTGAAGCTGGAAGCTGGAACCAGGACGGCTCAGAAGTGTTGATTCTTTGCTGAAATCCGAATCCCCAAACACCTACGACCCACAAGCCCCATCTCTGGGACTTACTCAGTGGCTTAATTAAACTCCAGGGAACCCATCTCTGACAACAGAGATACCCGAGTCATTGAGTGGCAGGAACGTGGGTACCAGTCAGGAAAATGGAGAGCGTTCCTGCTTTCCCTGGTAGAGATGTGGGGTGCACTGTAGTCAGGCCTTCTGGGGCATCCCAGAGAGTCATGGAGAAGTTGGCCTCTGTGTCCCTGCGAATATCTGTCTAGCATCCCCACTGGCTGTGTTGGAGTGTTGTCCTTATACCTCCTGTCCATACTTACTGTGAGGGAGAGGGCAGCCTTCTTGTCTGCTTGGCTTTTCCACTCAGCACCTTATGTGACAGTGGCCTTAACTCTGCAGTCAGACCCATCTGGGCACCCCCAGCTCAGCCATGTCCCTGCTGCAGACAAATCGCGTTCTTGTGACTCTGAGGGACACATCTTACAGATCCCAGGCCGTGACTCATGGAAGAGCTTCTGTGACCACAAATGGACAGGTGAACCTGCATCATTCCACAGGACCTCTGACATCCCAACAGTGGCTGGCAGGAGCAAGCATCTGAGTCCCTCATGGGGTGGTCCTCCCAGCCGGGGCCAGTGTCCACCCGCTTCAACCTCCAGGAGGCCACTCATGCCCAAGAGAATGCAACTCACACAGGCAGGTGTGCAAACTGCCCCACTCTCGAACAGGACCCAGAATTCTCTGTCACTATCTTAGGTATTGCTACCTAAGGCCCCATTAGGAACAAGCCTGGCTAGGAGCCATGGTGCTCAGGGAACCGAAGAGCTGCCTGGTGGCAGAGATGCTCCTCTCTTCTTTCCAGCCCTGGGTCCAGTGAGACACAGTCTCAGGGCTCTCGCTACCCATTAACACTTGTGTGCAGTTTCCAGGGGAACAGAGCTACAGAGTCAGTCTCCAAGGTCAAGGCCACATTTTTTTTTTAAACAGGAAGGCAGGTGGAATCTTTCCATGGCCCTCCTCCCAGACCCACTAGGAGGATGAGGCCATAGCCCTTCCTGTGAAGTCTTCAAATACAAGGTTCTTCTTCAGTACCCTGGCCTTCTAAGCCAGTGGCATGCAATTTTTAGTGGCACAGAGAAACCAGGGAGTCAGGGCTAGTCTGCCGCTCTTGCAGCCTGTGGGGGCTAAACAGAGCGGCCTGGGCTGGGGCCAGGTGGCCAGCTGAGCTGAAAACTGAGGGTCTCTGGCTTTAAAATGGAGGGTGTCCCTAAGGCTGTAAGACCCATGTCCTACCAGCCTACCAGCTCCTCTTCACTTTGCATCTCTAGCTGGTCACAGGGAAGTTTTTGCTCAAGTGCTCTGGCGAGCACAGTGTGGAGCCTCACCCCTGCCCATCAGCTGTGTGGGAGGTGGGGCCTGTGTCCTCGCTCAGCTCTATGTGGAGTTCAGCCAGCCTGAAGTCCTCCCAGTTGCTTCCTACCCCCACTGGGCAGGAACTATGATGATATGGCATGCTGGAGGGCCCTAGACCAAGGCCTTGTTCCCTGGAGAGTTGCAGCCTGCCTCCCCCTTGTCTACAAGGCCCCTGTTTTCCATGGATTCCCTAGCCAGGTTGCAAGCAGGAGTCCCCCTGCCCCAGAACTCCCAGCATCATGATGGGAGTCCCTTAACAAGCTGAGATTAAATATCCTTTTTTATTTTTCATATTTAATCTCAGCTTGTTAAGGGACTCCCATTATGGAACAGGAAACCCTGAACCAAGCACTTTGCTACCTTCCTCCTCTGTCATATTGTTAAAACACTCTTAGGGGTTTCTGCAGACCCCAACCCGTGTGTTCAGGGCCCTACTCTGACAGAAGGAGTGGGGTCTCCTAGGCTGAACCTGCCCCCCTCTCCCTCCCTTCCCCTTTACCTCAAGGCTGAGGTTTTAAGATGAGTGCCCCAGTCAAGACCTGTGTCCTTTCTGTGGCCATTTCTCAGTCATGTTCCCAAAGGCGTTAGGCCCTGCCCTTACGCAACGGGGCCACAGTACCAACCCTCTACCTGGCAGCCATTTCTCTTTTCAACCTCCCCAGCCCCACCCTTCTCCCCCTAAGTCTTAGTGATTCACCAAGAAGAGCTAGCTGTCCTGTGCCTGTGTGGGCAAGAAGGGCTGTTTCTCGGGAGCCCATCTCTTGGTCTCCGCTGCCTTCAGCTAGCAGCCTTCTTCCCACGGCAGGTGGCATCTTGTGGCCAGTGTTTCTGGGGCTCACAAGCCAAGTACTTGGGGAGTCATTCTGTGGTGGGGTAAAGAGCTGTTTACTGTGCATGGTGTCGTTTTGCAAGGTGCTGGCCACTTGCCCAGTAGACTACAGCAGCTAAGCAACAAAGCTGGTCACAGCCCAGGCAGCTGAGAGCGTGGTCCAGGCAGCATTGCTATGCCTATCCCATCCAGCTGGTAATAGCTTTGAGGGTGCGCCGGGCTCTCGAGCAGGCTGTGTGAATCCAGTCATGTATTCCTCACTGGATGCAGGTACCTGTACTTACACAGTGAGCGGAGATCCTTTCATGAGATGCTCAGTACTTTGTCCAGATTCATACCCTAGGCAGGATTCAAACCCAAGGAGCCAGGCCCAGCACCCAGGGTTTGAGTTGATCTTCCTGTCCCTTAAGGCCAGTGGTTCACATTGTTAGTTCCGCCTGCCTTCCCCACTCAGCCGCAGCTCTTTACACAACTGCCCTGCTCCTGCCCAAACCCCAGAAAACCACTACTAAGAACTCAGAAGGCCTCTTTGCAAAGGGAGAAAGGAGAACCACTCACTTCATCTCTGGAAAGGGTAACGCCAGTATGAGATATGTCCTCAACAACCCAGAGTGGGCACGGGCAGGATGCTCAGACAGTGGTACGTGACTTCCAGCCAAACCCCATTGAGTCCCAAGACCATGGCTGCTCCTTTCCAAGAATGACTCACCCCAAGTTCACCCACTAGCTGGACAACTTCCTGGCTCCATTGAGTGGATTTATACAAAGGGTTAACATAAATGCCTATCTTTATGGCAAGGGATTGAATGCGCAGCAATGTGCAGAGGTGGGAAGGGGAAAATAAGGTTTCCTGTGGGTCCCTAGGGCCACACCTTCAGAGAGGAACACACCTGAGTGCTCCGAGGAAAAGGCGCTAAGACACCTGAGTGGAAACCGCTCTCATTATTCCCTGGGGGAGCAAAGCCTCTGATGTTCACACTTCTGTCTTTTCACCTCTCTGCCTAGTCCTGGCCTCTGGTGTGCTTGGTGGCCTCAGATCTTTCCCTCTATAAACCCTTTGAAGCCATCTTGGACCAGCCACCTCCTGAGCTTGGCTCTTAATAACTGTGACTGCCCTGTGCTCACAGTGAGAGGCCCAAGACCACTGAGCACCTCGGTGAGCATGGCCCCCTTCTACGTGCCGTGTGGCCAGCCACTCCTATGCTATTGGCTATGACCTGCGGTGTGCCTGCACTCCAGGGATCTCTGCCTGTGCCTGCCTGCTGCTCCCTTCCATTCCTGCCTTTTCATCCTCTGGATCCGCCCCCTGCCCTGAACGCCCAGGGACTTGCCTGCTGTCCAGAAGCCAGTTTCGCTCCATACTTGATCTCATAGCTCTCGGGCTGGCATACGCATTCTCAGGTGTGGAGTCAGACCTGGCTGTTCCTTCCCATCTATAGGGCTTGGACAAGCTCTTTCACCTTCTGAGGTCTCCATTTTACCATCTCTAAAATGGTCATGGTGATGCCTACCTCCTAGGGTCACCAGGACAACTGGACTAGGTAGGTGTGAAAGACCGCTCAGTGTGGCATTAATTTCCCATCTTCTTTGCCTGGCAGGCTGTAGGTCATTGGTAAGTATGTGCTATATACAAACAGCGGCCCGGACCCTCATTCACTGTGGTGGGGATGGCCTTGGCTTTCCTTGGAGAACCTGTGACTAATGTGACACCTGAAAACCTTCCTTTTTCTCTTTGTGTGCCTCGCTAAGCATTTAATTCCAGGTGACTGGTCTGAGCTGCATTCTAGCTTGGGTGTGTCTAGCACACCAGCTCGTAAAACGAGATGCTCGTACATATTGCATGACGTTTGTGCGGATGAAACCCAAGCTACCCGCTCATGAATAATCCACCTGTCCTTGTTCTCCTCAAAGGACATTCCCCCGGACCATCCAAAGGCATGGTAGCCACCTTGAAATTTCCAGAAAATCCATGTTGCAGACTCATTCCATTTTTCTTAAGCCTGGGCCAATGAAATGTTTCCAGGATGGAGCCGACAGCCCAGGAACAGACAGAGAAAAGCTTCCGCTACGTCATCAGAGCTCCCAGCATCGATGGCTTTGATGTGATGAACGTGGATGTGAAGATCGACACGTGCTGGGTGTTCCGAGATGCGGAGGAGAGTGACCAGGAGCAGGGATGCCTTCCAGAAGCAACCAGCAGCCCAGACTTGGACACGGGGCTGCTCAGGGAGCAGCTGGAATCCTCAGAGCAGAAGCTGTTGGCCATTGTGGACAAGCATGTGATGTCAGAGTCAGGGCTGAGGAGCAGGTGGGTGTAACCTTGTGAGCATGCTTGTGCAGAGGGAAGGGGGCATTGATGGATTCCCTTGACACCATGATCCTTTGAATTCTGCCTCCAGCTGAGGTTCTGGCCTCACCAGAGGTACAGAACCAGCCTCAGGTGGTCATTTGCCCTCACTTCTCCTGTCGTTGTCCTGTTCTGTGCCTGATCACCATCCACAGGGTCCAGCCAATGGGAGGCACAACAGTGGATGAGAAAGGGGAAAGATAGCCATCTTCCCTTACTTCCTTTCTCTTGTCGTTGTGCCCAGATGATGTGTGCCTCTCTTCTTTGTTGGCCCAACTCCTGCTGTATGGCTTGGTCCAAACCCTGGTCACATGCTCCCTCTGAGTAGTGCCCTAGCTTCAGGACCAGAAGTGGCTCCAGCGTTGCTGAACCAGCTGTCTATCATCTCGGTCTGGCCTCCCAGCTCCTCTATCATCTTGGTACAGGGTACCAAGCCGTTGTTTCTCTCTGTTGAGCCTCTGGAGTGGGCTCTGTGGCCTGGTGAAGCCAACACAGACCCCGAATGGCCATTGGAATCAGGTTTTTTTCCAAACTATATCTTCTGACTTTTTCCTAATGGCCCCTCCTGTCCTTTTCTTCCATCCCCTCCCTTGTTTTCCTCTCTTACACTCCCCTCTCCTCCTCTTCCTGTCTTCCCTTTCTTTGGTGGTTTTGTGGATGGATGCTGCAGGCTGCTAGGGTCCTGCATGTCCTAGAGCAACACTGTGCTGCCAGGTCATACCCCAGCCCTCCCAATGATTTCCTTACTTCCCTTTCTCCCTCCCTCCCTCCCTCCCTCCCTCCCTCCCTCCCTCCCTCCCTCCTTCCTTTCCTCCCTCTCTCCTTCCCTTCATTCATTCTTCTCAAGAGGATGAACTTGCTTTGGCTGCTGTCTTAGAGGTTTCCATGGTTAGCGTGCTTTGTAGTTATAGGTCTATGACAAGATGAGAACCTCATGAAGGCTGCTGTTCCCCTCACGGTAGCTAGGAAGGGAGGTGGGGTGTCCCTGAGAGTTTCTCAAGACCTTGTATGTTAGTTATGTTTCCTGTCACTGTGGCGAAATACTGAATTAATGGAAGGAACACAAGTTCATTCTGGCTCACAGTGGGTTTTAGTCTGTGCTGCCGATCTGTTCATTGATTTGGTCCCAGGGTGAGGCAGGACCCCTGGGCAGGGGCACCTCTGAAGCCGGAGCCCAGGGTGAGGCCAGAGCCACTGTTCTCTTTGAAGATGAGGCGCACATCTTGCAGAAGAGGACCAGGGGATAGGGAGGTAGGATCTGTGGCAGGGTTGAAAGGGAAAAGGGATCACGCTGCCTTCCTTCCAGTCTGACCCCACTTTGAGTTCCTTGAGTCCTGAGATGTATAGAGTGTTGTTACCTCCTTCTCCAGATGGGGGAACTGAGGCTGAAAGCATAAACTATAGGGTCAAGGGTACGAAGAGCAGAAGTAGGGTCTGAATGGCCCACTCAGAATTCAGACACCCAGCTGGCTTCCTGGTGTCTTCCTGGTAGATGTGGTCCACTAGAAAGCAGTGAGTGTCTGGGAGTGCAAATTGGGCTTGCCACAGCCTCAGAGTTAGCATGCGGGGCCAGTGAACTACATCAGTGAGTTAGCATGTTTGCTGTCAAGCCTGATGATATGGGTTCAGTTCCTGGGACCCACATGGTTGAAAAACAAAACCAACTCCCACAAAATTGTCATGTGACCTCATCATGTGCCCTGCTCCCCTCAACAAAATTGATACATTGAAAACAAGGTGATTGGTGCCCGAGAGATGACACTTGAGGTTGTCACTGGGTCTCCCCAAAATTAAAAAATAAAATAAAATAAAAATTAAATTAAAAAGTGATAACATGCCAAAGATTTTTATTATGGAAATAATACAGAGCTGGGTGTGGAGGCTGATGCCTGGAATCCCAGCACTTAGGAGCCTGAGGCAAGAGGACCATTGTAAGTCACAGACCAGCCTGGGCTACAGAGTTGGATCTTGTCTCAACAAATGTTGTTAACTAAAAGAAAGTCATAAAATATGAAAACAACATCGCTGAATTTGTTAGAAAATCTGAAGGAAAATAAAAAGCCCGCTCCTAGCTCACCGGACTGTGTTTCGCAGTCATTTCTGACCGAAATCCAGCAAAGTCACCCTGAGCACTTGTCACTCCTGCTCTGAGCCAGCCCTCCCTGCTCAGCAAGTGTTCCGTGGCTAATCCTTAAAGCTGGAAAATAGGGTGAGAGTATTCTGTTTCACGAAAGAGGCCAAGGCCTGGGATGTGTAGCTGTGCCTGTCTATCCTTAAGGGGGGTAGGACTTGATTCCAGGTGCCCAGAAGTCCAGTTTGTGGTCACTGTGGGCCCATGTGCTCATGGCAGGGCCTCCTGGATTCATGGTGTTCTTTGTGGCACTCTTTACGAGTCTCTTTACAAGCCTCACCTGGTGAGTTTGGTCAGAGAAAAGCACTCCTTGCCCATTTCATGGTCCTGGGTGTATGGGTTTCCTGTGGCTGCCGTGACAAATGGCACACACTTGCTAGCTTTTCTTGGCGGTAGTGATGGTAGGATTGAAGGCAGATGTTCTCATTGTCCATGCTGACCTCAAACTTGCTAAGTAGCCTTGGATGGCCTTGAACTCTTGACCTTCTTGCCTCTCCGTTCTGAGTGCTAAGATTATAGGCATACAACCATGAAACTTGGTGATTTAAAAACAGCCTACAGAGATGGGATTAAAGAGGTGGCTCAGTCTGTAAAGGTCCTGATGTACAAACCTTAGGACCTGAGTCTGAATCCCCTACACCCAAGTAAAAGCCAGGGATGGTACACACCTCCAACCACCATGTTGTGAGTCAGAGATGAGGAATCAGCCGGGCTCACTGGCCAGCCTACAACAAGTGAATTCCAGGCTCAGTAAGAGTCCCTGTCTCAAAATAAATTTAAAAAAAAATGGAGGGTGGTTGAGGAAGACACACCATGTCCACCATTGGCCCACACACATATGTATGCTTTCATTCACATAGTGTCTCCAAAACAAAACAAAACCCAAACAGCAGGAGCCCTGGCTCAGTCGATGAATAGCTCTGGAGGCTGGAAGTTAGGATTCAGGCTTAGCTCAAGTGGTCGATAGGGTCTCACCCACTTCAGATGCCTTTGGGACTGACTCCGAGATGTTTGACCCTCAGTTCTCTGTTGAGTACCCCGTTGGCCCCCAGCCCATCTCCGAGCTGCAGCATATGCCGTGCTCTGGGCCTCTGCAGCTTTCCTCCTGATGGCCAGCTCCACTCAGGCCTCCTCTGAGGAGCGAGAGGCCGAGTGATGCTCCAGGACCCATCTCCTCTCACAGACTGACTTCACCTGCCCTGCGGCTTCTGTGCTTGTGAAGGGTGCTATCCTTCCTCCACGGATCAGGGTCTGGAGTATCTGGAGCCTTCTGCACTGTATTGGTTGCTGTACTGGCCATCTCTTCTTGCTCCTGTCAGAAACAGTCTTTGTCTCCTGAACTGGAAACACAGGTTTCTCCCCCAAACGAAAAGAATGACTTCACTTTCTCCTTTTTGGTTCTTGGCGCATGTCAGAAACAGTGAGAAGGTGCCAGTTCTGCCTCCTGACTGATTCGCTCGAGGCGACTTACTCAAGTGGGATAGGGGAACCTCCCCAAGGAGAGGAACCCTTAGTTGTGTTTTGAATTTGAATTAAGACACCATTTCTTTAATCTAGACAAAATCCTTTGAGTAGAGTGCAGCTGTCTGTATCTTTATCTTACAGATGAAAATCTAAGGGCCGTAGTGGTAAATTAACCCAGTTAGGCTCCTATGGTGGAAAAGACAGAGGCAGGAAGCAGATCCTGCCCATCTCTGTGGATCAGGGACTGAGTCGGAACAGAAGGTCACCAGGTGGTCTTGGGTGAAGCATGCACAGAAATGGGAGATGGAGGGCTATCTCAGGCCAACGTGACCTAGCATGGAGGCAGGGCTAGCACCTGCGGTGGGAGCACTGCTCTGACTTCCCCTTCAGGTGTCACCATCATCCTGCCGAGTCACCTCTTCTATCTGCAGTCAGCTAGCACAGTCTCTGCTGCTCATGCAGACAGAGCTCTGCGTGGCTCAGCCGCTCCCCGTGTCAGTCTCTTAGGCTGCTCCCAGCGTCTCATGCAGAAGGGCAAGTCACACAGACATTTTTTTTTTAAAAATATAAATCACAGAAACCTTCTGACTGTCAGTCATTTCCTTAGAAGACATTCATAAGCTTGGGGCTAGAACGGGAGGCAAGAATGACTAAGGTTAACAGTCCCCCCGGAATCCACAGTCTGTGAGACCTGGGGAAATAACCCATCTCCCAGGCCCTCAGTTTTCTCCCGTGTGAAGAATATTACCCAGAGGCAGGTTAAGGTGTGAGCATTCGTCCGATAGTGCAGAAAAACTCTTGGCTGGATGACCTCCACTCAGAGTCTCTTGGCCTCATGGATGTGGGTTGCTAAGTTAGGGCTGAGAAACACTTGTTTTGAATGTCATGGCAAGTGACATTGTGTATGTGTATACACACCTTATGTAGCATGCATATCTGTGCAATACCCATCTGCACACATGGAGAGGCCCAAACAGGACGTGAGCATGTCCTCCTCCATTAGTGTCCACTTTATTGCTTGAGACAGGGCCTCTCATTGAAATGGAAGCTTACAGTTTGGCTAGGCAGGACGTCCAAACTGTCTCTGTCGGCAGTGCTGGAGTTATAGGCACAGCCTTTATGTGGGTGCTGGGGATTTGAACCCAAGGTCTTCATGCTTACCAAACAGGTGCTCCTACCAACTGAGCCGTTCTCCCAGCCCTGCAAGTAATGTCTCTGAGGTAGAGCAGAAACTTTCTAGTAAGATATGTATGCCTCGGATGGTGGCTCACTCCTGTCCTCCAAGCACTGGGAGGCAGAAAGAAAATGAGTCTGGTCCACAGAGAGAGCCCGAGTTGATGATGCATGTGAGGGCTTTACCATGAGGTTCTCAGGCCAGTAGCTGGGTCAGGTGACTGGGGTGGCGGTGGTGAGGTTTACAGTTCCAGCCCTGAGTGAGTGTTTCCTGCCTATGGTCCTGCAGGGTCGAGGAACTGGAGCTGTCGGAGAAGAAACTTCTCCTCAAGGTAGAACAGCTGAGTGCCCGCATAGCCCAGGAAAGAAGCGCCTCGCTCTACGCCCAGGATCAGCTACAGGCACTGCAGAGGGAGCTGGTCAGCCAGGTTCGTATCTCTTCTACTTCCCAGTGCCTGGTCGTGTGGGCACCCTGGGCCTCAGCTTCTCTGTCCCCCTCCCAACTTCCCAGGCCTCCTGGGGAAGTGTGGGTGTCAGCATGTTGGTCCCTTTCTCATGCCTGGGCCCCCAAGGACAGGAGGTGGCCAATGTGGGTCTCTGTCTTCAAATTGCTGCATGCAGGCGGGGACGGAGGGAAGATAAGAACCCCGTCTAGAGTGGTAGGGGGACTTGGCCACATCGTGGGTGTGATAGGAAAAAGATACTTCAGAGACCTGGTGGTCGACCTTTCCAGTCCTTGCTGGGAAGGGAATGTGAAGTGTGAGAATTAGGTGGACCAACACGGTGCCGTGGAGGGCTGGGGAAGGGGTCGTGCAGAGAGGGAAAGGCTGAGAAGCACAGCAGGTCCTCCAGCGGGATCCCGGTAGAGTTAACTTCCTAGCCAAGGGGCCAGCACTAGGAGGCCCAAGGAAGACAGCTAAGGCTTTGTGGGGCAGGCAGGCAGGCAGAGCACAGTAGACAGCTCCACCAAGAAGCAGAGTTAAGGGTCAGGTTTTGGAAGAAAACCCTAGTTCTACTGATGAATTGGTTGTGTGACATTGGACAAGTGACACAGCCTCGACAGGTCTCAGTTCCCGCGTATGGAAAACAGGAATAATATGGTACCACCCCTCAGGCGGTCATCTGAGTTAACTAAGGAGAGGCATGTAGAGTGCTCAGAGAGGTGGGTGTGTCAGTGTTACCTGCATCTGCCATTCTTGCTCATTATAAGAATTACATTGAGGAAGAAATAGCCAATGGATCTGGATCTCTGCGATAGGTATTCTATGATGCCTGGGCACCGGTTTCAGGGATTTCACTTTAAAGCACAGCTTCGGGGCTTTGAGATTACAGGGTGCAGCCCGTTCATGGGATGGGAACTCAATACGAACAGGTGGTGCATGCGCTGAAGGGAGCGTTGTTTCTCGGGTCTTGTTTAGCTGTGCCTTTGTGTGTGTGCATGACATAGGTGATGATCCTGGGTATCTCTGACAGCGGACATGTACCCGCGGGACAGCCAGGGTACATGACGTAGTGTTCACCGACACGGAAGTGGGAAGTGAAGGAGCCCACTCAGCTCAGCGCAGTCCTTGAGTACTAGGGGGTTAGCCCTCCCACCTCTCCTCTGACCCCTGGAGGCAGAGTCAGGTTAAAATGGCTCCTTGGCTCACATGCCTTTAGCTTCTCAACCCCTGGGGTGTCTTCATAGCAGGGTACAGGCTGAGGCTCTGCACTGGGGACATGTGGTTTCTCTGAGGAGACCTTGTAAGGGTTTTTGAGCCTTGCTCTGGATACATCTGGGATTCCCCAGGGCAGTTGGGGACAGTCCTGCAGTGGAGATGCTTGTAGGGTAAGGGTGCCATGTAAGCTAATTGCGTTGGTGGGATAAGGGGTGTGGGGGAGGCCAGGGAGCTATATACCATTTCCACATGCTTCCCTGTTGTTACTACTGTCTTGAACAACACAAATACACTAAGGTGGACCTCTCCAGAAGCCTCTTTACAGATGCAGTGGCTTGGTCAGGGTCACATGTGGCCCAGATCACTGTAACAGTGCAGTCCAGCCCACAGCCTTAACCTCCAGTCTCTCTGCTTTTGGGGGAGACATTGGCGTGTGGGAGCCAGTAACACAGGGATATGCAAACGGGATTTTGGCATCTCTTGTGTCTGATCTGTCACAGATGGCGACTTTGCTCTGGTCATATTTCCAGGAAGCAAAGAGGCCTCATGCCTGCAGTGAGCTCTGGTCATCCTGTGAGTGCCAAAGGCCCACCCACTCATGCCATGGATCTCCATGCATCCAGAACCACACAGACACCCAGTACAGAGTCCACGCCATCTTAAAGCCAGGAGAATTTTCCATCCAGAAAACACAACTCTAGTTTTCATTCCCTCTCCACGCCCTACCAAAAAAACTGCCTGCAGAGCCAGCCTGAGCCGGCCTTGTACTTCCTTTCCTCTATGTACCCTGTCTCTCACCTGCAGGCTCTCTGGCAGCAGAGGGAGCAGGTAGCTAGTGAGAGAAAGCTTACCACAGAGGCAGTGTTTGCCTGGACAGAACGTGAGCACCGAAGACTCCCGTTTTTTTCTGGGTTGTGTTGCACCCCAGTCTGGTTCACTGAATATGATAGGGAGAAGGCAGGGTGTCCAAATAGGGATCAAATGTTCCCTGCTTAGGCAGGTGGCCAAGGGACGGAGAGAAGTCAGACACAAGGCTGCCGTGCTGGGCCCCAGAGCTGGCTGTTGTCCCATTTATTTAGTATAGACTTTTTGCTATTCCGTTATACAGGTAACTTCTGAGTGTGTGCTGGGGCTAAGGACAGCCCTATTTGGGGGGTGGGGAGGCATTCACAGTTGTGAACAGCTGCTGTGGCTTCCTGGCCCCTGCTCAGCTCACATCACTGAAGTGAGAGGTTCTGGAAAGTTCTGTGGAGTTTGGAAATTGGTGTGAACTGTTCAAACTGAACAACTTCAGAGCCATCTGCAGGGTGTATGCCCCTCCAATCTACTGCACACACAGACTTAAGGGAGCTCATGGAGCTCCTGGGCTCAAACTAGGGTGAGGTGAAGGCGACTCTTGTCTGCAGTGCTAGCAAACTCAGTAATCAGCAAAACTTAAAAATTGTGTATTTATTTTGTGTATGCACATACTTACGCCACAGTGGTTAGAGTCCAGCTTGTGGGACTGGTTTGCTCCTTCCACCACGTGCGGGTCCTGTGGAACCCAAGTTGGGCCTTCATGCTTAGTAGCAAGCGACTTAGTCTTTGAGCCATTGGTCCTGACGTAAAGTTTCAATGCAAAGTACCCACTATGCACGAAATACAGGAATGTTAGGGAGAGAAATCAAAGCGAGCAAGGCGCGTGCCTGGGGCTCGGGGTTACCTGACGTCCCCATCACCACAACTCCTAGGTGCGGGAGGCGAAGAGCGCGGCCAGACGGCAGCAGCGGCTGCAGGAGCGGCTGCAGCTCAAGGACGAGGCCCTGGCACGGCAGGCGGTGGCCCTGGAGCGCTGTGGGCGGGCCCAGCGGTTGCAGCTGGGCCTGGTGCGGGAGCAAGAGCGCGTTCTGCGGGCGCAGGTGCAGCGGCTGGAGCGCGACGTGTGGCGCCTGGGCCGTGCCGCGAGCCTCCTGCTGGCACAGCTACAAGCTGCGGACCCGTTGCCCAGTGAGGGCAGCTCCCGGCCGCAGATTCCGGCCGGTTCCCTAGGAGCCTCCGAGGCCACAGAGCTGAGTGTACTGCGGTTCAGGGCTGAACGCGCGGAGCGGGAATGGGCGGAGGCGGTGCGTAGGCTGCGGAAGCAGAGCGTCACCAAGCGGCAGCTGCGGGAGCAGCTGGAGGAACTGCGCTGCTGTGTGTATGGGCTGACGCTGTCGGAGATTGGCCTGCACAGCCAGGTGGAGGAGCTCGCCAAGCAAAACAGGCGCCTGCGGGCCCAGCTGGGGCACGGTAGCCCGGTAAGTGGCAGGAACCCAGGACAGGAATGACTGCTTACCCTCCTCTGACTCCTTCCTGTCCAGCCACTACCAGTCTATGTCCCCACCATCCATATATACAAGGTCACCACTGTCACATGGCCACTCACTGCCCATATGGCCGTCTACTCATCTGCCCGCCATTTGATGTCTACCCATTTGTCCATGTACTTGCAGACTCCCATGTCCAACTACGTACTCTACCCCACAGCCAACTTCTGTTGTTCTCCTCCCACTGTTAAGGGTTTGAATGCGCAGTGGCCCTCCTCCCCAACAGGCTCATATGTTTGTGCCCTTTGTCATTAGCTGATGGTCCTGTGTGAGGAGGTGGTGGAACCCCACTTAAATCCGGCAGGCGTGTTCAGTCTGAAGCCCTCGGGTTGCAGTCTCTCTGGGATAGCTATGAATGCAGTCCAGCACAAAAAGCCAAGACTTAAAACACTATGAGGGTATTTAAAAAATAATAGCCACGCAGTTCACAATGTGAACTTGGTAGTGACTATATCGGAGTCACAATGTTGAAAGGTTAGAGACGCCTGCTAGGAGGTGGGGCCTGGATGGGGAAAGTGGGTTTCTGGGGTGGCCTGAGGTTCTAGCTCAAGGTTTCCGCCTTCAGGAGCTTCCTGTACTGTGAAGAAGCAGAACCCACACTCCTTTCCCAGCCACTCCCAGCCCTGTGCCTTCCTTGCCATCACTGTAGCCTCTACGTGGAGAGACAGAATAAATCCTTCATCCTTTCGGTTGCCTTGGCCAGGTATTTTGTCACGGTGGCAAGAGAAATAATCAGTGTGTCCCCACCCTAAACTAGTCTAGCCTTTGGTACCCAGTCCAAGGCACCCACAGATTCAGTGTCGGAGACCTGGTTTATAGATAGTACCTTGTGGCTGCCGAGTAGTCACCTGGGGGAAGGGCATGTGCTGCCACCCCGAGGGGTCCGTTCCTACTTAGTCACCTCCTCACATTGTTGCCTTGGTGATTAGATTTCAACATATGAATTTGGGAGCAGAACAAACATTTGGGCCTTGACAGCTCTCTATCCTGATCCCCATTCACCTATATCTTCCCTGTCTGTCCACTCATGGTTGCCAGGAAGCCAGATTCTCCTCATACCCTTCACAGTTTGTACCTCTGTTCATCCATCTCTTTGTCACTGAGTGGGTTCCTACAGTGTGCAACCCATGTGAGAGACAGGTCCTCAACCCACAGCCCCTACCCCAGGGCACTCGCTTCTCCCCTGTCTAACCTAGTGATCATTTTATGCTGTGTCCTCCCCTCTTGGGCAGGTCCAGCATCCACTGGTTTTTGCAACCTCCATTACCAGCAGCAGCACACAGGGGCCCCAGGGACTGCAAAGAAGAAAGCACCAGGGGTTGGGCTTTTTCTGGATCTCTTCATTATTAGCTCTTTAAACATGGGTATACTTGACGGAGGGGCAAACATGTACATTTAATATCTTCCAGATGTATTCAGAGCTTCCTTTCAAAGCTTGTAGCTATAAGGGCAGCTGCTCTCAGGGTCCTTGCTCCACAGAGAGGAAGCTGAGGCTCTGGGCAGCAGTTTCTCACCTGTTGTCACACAGCTGTTGAGGGACAGACAGATCTGGAGGTTGGCATCGGGATGATGGCTCCAGCTGCCTTAGCCCTGGGTCCCTAAAACCATAGCAAGTTCAGATTCTTTAAAGAAGATGAAACATTTGGGAGATAGAGGCAAGAGGATCAGGAGTTCAAACTACATAGCAAGTTTGAGACCTCCCTAGGCAGTGTCAGATCCTGCCTCAAACAAAACACGACAAAAACAGACAAAAGAAACCAATGGGAGTTGCTCGTTTAAAGCATCAAATGTATCTTTTAATAGGAAACTGGAATACTCAAGTTCTCGGGATAATGGCCTGGCTCTTGCCTGGGCCAGCTTACTAATGGGCGTCTGTGTTCTGCTGTGCATTTTCACCGCTTTGGCTCCCGCCTGTTCCCCCTGTGCACTTCTTGTTCAGCCACTAAGGGGAAAACAGTGTACACTTACCATTGTCTCCTTGTAATTCTGAAAATAAACGATGCGCACATGGAACTTGTCATCTAGAATCTTTTCTGTGATTGCCATAAATGTTCTTTCAATTAGGCAGTTGGCCCGAGGCTTTATTCTCCCATCTCGCCATCATCCCAAATTCCTTAAAAACACTTCTCTGAGAAGAGTGGGTTCCTAAATGCCTGGTAGAGTCTTGCTCCTGTTTGTCCATTTCCTGTCCTTTCCTGTAACCCCTCATGTATCAGGTTGTTTCCACAAAGCTAATGAAGGGACTGCAAGGAAGGGCAAGTGATTTGGTCACAGGCACCAAGACAGCATCAAGATGGGCAAGGAATCGCGCCTCCCTCTGCTGGCCTCCCCTCTGGATCGGGGCGAGCGTTAGTAGCTCTTTGGGGTTTTGGCTCTTCAGTGGCTGCATCAGATAGGATCTATGTCCTCAGCTGGAAAGCCATCACAGTCACAGGCATCCATGACCTCAATGTTGCTTGCTTTCCCTTCAGCAGGCCCTGCACCCCAAGGAGCTACATCTCACTAGGGCCTCGACTATCAGAGCCAAAAGATGTCTACTGAAGGTCCCCTACGTTGTCCATAAGCAGTGATCCCCGTGTGTGGAGCAGAGGACAAAGCAGAGGCTGCTGTTAGAATCCATGGGACAGGCAGCACTGCTCAGTATGGCATGGGGGAGGTACTCCTCTAGGGAACTGCAGGGGGATCCCTCTTAGGGGACAGTGGTGATCTACATGGGCCAGGATATTCTTGGACTGGTTAGTAGACTCCTGTGCCTCAGCATCCTTATTGTGGGATGGGACTGACACCCACAGACTGTGATGCTCAGTGAATGAGCTGCTCAGTGAGGAGATGACCACAGTCATAGGCACTGTCTGCGTGTGGCCGTGTTGCTGTAAGGAATAGAGATTGGGGAGCAAGAGGTATATAGTGAGTATATTTAGGGACGTGTGCAGCTGACAGTCTTCACAAAACTGCCATTGCCCACAGCTGGGTCTTCTCTGCAGCCAGCTGATGGGGGGGGTGGAGTTATTAGCCCTCACTTTACAGGTGAAGGAACTGGGGGAGGTGGGGAAAGTCACATGCTCCAGCAAATGGAAGAAGCCAGGCTTGAAGGGAACACAGTCCCCCACCCCGGAGACAGCACTCTGCTTCTTACTTCTGATGCACTCTGGGAGTTGTGCTGTGAGCTATAGTGCAGGCATTGTGAGAAGACATGTCAATTGCTTCTTAGCCACAAAGCACTTGCCCTGAAAGGCTCTCTTAGATGTTGTAATGCAGCCAGGGAGGCACTGATGTCCCTGTCCCTAAGCTGAGTCTAGAGGAATGAACTTAATTTGCCCAAACTCAGATCGGTGACAACTTTTAGAATAGGTTGTGTAAAAGCTACATCTGCAGAGGAATGGGTCACTGGGAGGAGTTTGGGGGAAGGGCTCCTGCCGGGGAAAGGAGCTGGGGAGGACGGTGGGTGTGTTGGCGTTCTCTGCAAGTGTTCCCTGGGCTTCTGCAGTGTCTCAGGCACAGCGCTAGGCCCTGGGACTGGGGGGGGGGTGATTTGGGTGTGGACCTGCTCTTCAGAAGCTTGGAGGGGAGATAGACACAGGAGAAGCAGTGGTGGTCCTGGCTTCTAAACAGCTACATCAGAAGACAGACAGATGCTATGACCTGGCCTGGAGGGTCACTGAGAGAGGTTTATGCATAGAGATGGGAAGTCAGTCATGTCCTCTGTCATCTGGGAGCTGAGGAGCTGGGGTGATGGGCATTGCTGGGTGCTTTCTGTGTCTTCCTGTCCTGCAGTTCTCACTGTCCCGCAGGGCACATAGAGTGAGCCCTGGCAACAGCTGTAGGGATGTTTTCACTGTTGGAAAGAGACCCTTGCTTGTACCTCTGTAGGACTGTGTCACTGCAGGTTTGCTGTTCACTATGAAGCAAACTCTATCAAGAAATAGAGTCAAGAGGGCTAAAGAGATGATTCAGTGGTCAAGAGCCCTTGATGCTCTTGTAGAGGACCAGGGTTTGCTTCTCAGTGCTCACACGGAATAGATCACAACTGCCTGTACCTCAAGCTGCCGGGAATCCAGTGCCTTCTTCTGGGGGCTCCTGCACACATGTTTCAGCATTTATGCAGGCACACACATATACACATAAAATAAAATAAATAACTCTCTAAAAGAATACTTGACCACAAGTCAAGAAATAAAAGTACTTGCCTAGCATGTGTGAGGCCCCCAATTCCCAGCAAAACACACACACACACACACACACACACACACACACACACACACACACAAAGAAAGCAGAAGGAAATAGTCAATACATGCAGCTTTTAAAGGAGCCGCTGCTCTGCAGGGTTTGGGCCTTTGTAGACCTAAGCCTTTGGGGAGGGCTGACAGTCAGTGAGTATCAAATGCCGTACGAAGGCCTATATTTCCTGTGCGAGCATGAACCTCCATGAATAGGTGTTTGCTAGTCTCATGGTTGTGACCAAATACATGACAAGAAGCAGCGTAAGGGGGGTTCAGTCCCAGTATGGTGGGGCAGGCAGGGCAGGCAGCAGGGCCATGGGCAACTGGTCAAGCACAGAGTGGGTAGGCAGTGGGGCCAGCTTATCAGGTGTGTACTATCATAAGGCTGACCCCGGTAACTCACTTCCTCCAGGGAGGCTACACTTTCTGGAGGTTCAACAGCCTTCCGAAACAGTGTCGTTAGCTGGGGCCAAGGTTCAAACGTGAGCCTGTGGGGACATTTCACTCTCAGACCACAGCACGCGTTAAAGAAAGGAGTCAGCAGCTGCTAAGCAGCTGTGCGCAGCTGTCTCCATCTCAGTGCTGTGTGCCGCTGACAGAATCAGAAGTAGCCTCAGTGTCCAGCGAGATGGAGCTTGTGAGGTCTTGCTTAAGTCAGGGCTTCTCAAATCACTCATGACACCTCTCTCTTAAGACATTCTCCCACAATCTAGGTTTGTCGGCCTATAAAATAGATGCATAGGAGCTGGAGAGAAGGCTCGGTGGATAAGAGCACGTGCACCTCCTACAGAGGACCCAGGTTTGATATCCAGTGCCCATATCAGGATGCTCACAACTACCTCTGACTCCAATTCCTGGGCATCTGGCGCCCTCTTCTGGCCTCTGAACATACCCACCTCCCCAATGTGTGCATAACTACACACAGACTCACAGATCCACATAAATAAAAATAGAATACATTTAAAAATGGGTATACATGTCACATTTAGTGATGATAAGTAATACAAATTTTATTTTAAACAATTCTTATATATATGTTTACCATTTACTAAAAATGAAAGCAAATTTTCATACAATGAGTTTGCATAAGGTCACACAGTGTAACATGGGTCAGTGTTACTGGGAACACCTCATTTTCATAGATTATTTGATTCTGACTTTGTTTGGGGGAACTACTGCCATTTTTTTGGTGACATTTAGTTGTACAGCCTCGTGTGGTTCATGACACCCATTTTAAGAAGTGGCAGCTTAGCAGCTATATGGGCAGAGAATGTTAGACAATCCCAAATCACAGCAGGAGAGTTTGGGAAGATTTGGTTCTTCTAAACTATTGAATAAAAAAATGGTACAGCTGGGCGGTGGTGGCGCATGCCTTTAATCCCAGCACTTGGGAGGCAGAGGCAGGCGGATGTCTGTGAGTTCGAGACCAGCCTGGTCTACAAGAGCTAGTTCCAGGACAGGCTCCAAAACCACAGAGAAACCCTGTCTCGAAAAACAAAAACAAACAAAAAAAATGGTACAATGCTAAAGTTTACATTTTGTGCAAGTGGAAGTCTTCTATGGTCTGTGCTTTGAGAAAAACCCAGAAAGATGTACTGTGACGCATAAATGCTTGTGTCTAGACACCTCTGTATCTCACACGGGGAGGCAAACCAAAATCCAGGCTGTCATTCTCTCGGGGTTGGGCAGAGCACAGTCCTGGGAAGGATCGAGGCTGGATATGGGAGCTTTTCTCCTGTTTTCCTTTTGACTTGCCCTGTGACCTTAGACAAGTTCCTCTCCCTCACTGACTATTGGTTTAATCACTCACAAAGTGAGGGGTAGACCAGAGGGAAGGTATCGTTTCAGTGTCCTAGCGTGCAGGATGCTGCCTAGCTGTCTCCCTGGGGCAGAGAGCGTGTGCATTTTCTGCGTCTGTGTCCCCAGCCTCAGAAGCAGGTCTGGCCCTTAGCTGGGGCTCAGCAAATGTTCATGAAACCATCTGGGCAGAGAAGCACAGTGGTAAGCGCCATGGTGAACGCTGGCCTTGGCGGAACATGACAAACTCTGATCCCAGCCTTTCTTTCTCCACCTGCCTGTTCCTCCTCTCCTTCTGCCCTCTATTTTCCTCACCCTTACTTGGAGCTTGAGCTTTTCTTTCTCTTCTCATCCCACCTCGTTTTCTGCTTCATTTAGTTTTTTTTTCTGATCTTTTCCTCCATCCTTTTCAACCTTCCTGCATTTGTCTCTCCCTCCCTTCATCTTTCTGAATTTCCCTCTTGTTTTCATGGTAATTTTTAAGCTGCAATTGGGACTGTTTAATTATGACCAGGTGAGAAGCGAGTGGACAGAAACAGAGGCAGGGGACAGGGCTCTGAGCGTAGTTGACAATAGCCTGTCTGGTCAGGCCACTCTGGGTGCAGCCCGTTGTCTATTAGGAAGCAAACTGGTGCGCATGCCCTCCGGTTGCTAGTGGTTGGGGTCGAGTGTTCTTATTAGTCTTTGTTGGAAGCTTCTGAAGGAATCTATGATGCAGCTGGGACTGAGGATTTATAGGCAAAAGGATGCAGCACAAACCATTGCACAGACAGATAAGAGGTCACCAGCACAGAGTGGCTGAGGGAGGGACTGCTGGGGAGGATGATGGGGGCTTGATTTGTGAAATGATCAAGGAGGCCAAAGAAAGCCTCATGGGGACTTGACCACTGCTTCTGCGGGACACGAAGCCTTTCATCTTTCATGCCATCTTTCATGGATTGCATGCTCCAATGTGGGCTTGCCTAGGACCACTCAAATACACCTTGGCTTACCACAGCCCTGCCCCATACCCTGGGGTCTACAGTCCCTGGCTTGAACACAGAACAAGGCATATGTGTGAGACTGGGAGGAAGGGTTTTTTCTCTTGCTGGAGAAGAGTGAGAAAGGGAGGCACTTGATCTGGTCTGGTTTCCAGGTTAATTTGCTGGTCAAATCTTCAGTGGAGTGGGCACAGGGCCAGGAGTCAGCTACAAAGAGGCCTGTATGACAGCTGACTGGCTTGTAGGAGCCTACCCCAAAGTAGCAGAAGGAACAGCCTGTGCAGAGGTCCAGAGGCAGAGAATGTGGCCAGCATGGTGGCAGGCTAGGAGGCCACCATGTCAGGGGCAAGAGCTCACAGTGGTCATGACAGCTGGAACAGCTCACGTGTAGTCTCCAGGACCATGTTGGGCATGTTCCTCTCTGCTCACACAACTGGCCTCCTGCAGGTCTGTGGCTGGGGGACACTTCCCAGATCACTGGCTACTGTCACCTTTAGGACTTGCTCACAGGGAAACATTCAACATACCTGGGCAGATTCCAGCTTTCCCCAGTTGGGACAGAGAAACTACACAGGAGCAAGGCTGGGACTCCGCCCCCATCCACACCTCTCCATACAGTCTCCTGTCTAGATGTCCAGACTACTCCAAGGACAGACTGCCACCCCTTTAACTTACTGAAAGAATGTCAAGAGTCAACAAGAACACTGTGGCCTGGTAAAACAATGGCCCAGGTTAGGTTCCATGGCCAGCTTTGAGCCCACCACTTTCTGAGTCTTAGTTTCCTTACTTTGGAGGAGTCTGACCATTGCTATGAGGGAGCCTAGGCATGGGCTTGGAGTGGACAGGTCAACCAGGGCACTTGTGACTCTTCAATTCTTTGTCTCTCTCAAGGGTGCCTCGGGCTGTGCCCAGAGTGACTCTCTGCCCCTGCCCAGCGCAGAGGTGCTGGATCCCTGCAGCAGCCGAGGCTGCCACAGTGATGCTTGTGGACTTCAAGCCCTCGCAGGTTTGTGGATGCTGTGGTACATAGAGGGGCCACCTGACATCCCTGTGATAGGCCAGCTAGCTTAGTCCACTGTTATTCTCACAGTGTTGGGCAGGGTGATTTGCTCCTCTTACAGACAACCCAGGGCTCAGAGAGGCTCAAGGTCACACAAGCTGGTCAAAGCAGAGTCAGTGTGTGACGTTCCAGGGGCCATTAGCTTAGGCTAATTTGACGCTTAAACTTATGCGCTCAGCTCTCAAGGGGTGCCCACCAGCTGCAGGCTGGTAGTGGGGTGTTGTCCTCACAGAGACATCTGTGGTAAGTAAGGATCACTCTAGCCACCTTTTACCCCAGACAGCCCCTTAGCTTGAGGATGAGACTCGTGACTGTCAGTCTGAGAATCACTGGGGCTTTAAAGTCCCTGGTCTCTAATGTTGGGCATAGTTTCTCACCTCCCTACTATAAGAGATCCTGCTTGCTCATCCTCAGCTGTCAAAGCATAAGAGTAGCCCAAGCCTCATGATACCCAGGACTTCCGGTTGTAGGAGGAGGCAGCTGATGTCCCCCTTTAGTCACGTCTGCGGTGGGTGGGGGACAGAGCTGTTGGATAGGTCAAGGTGTGTTGTGACTTGGCGAGGCTGCTCCTGAAAGCTCGGCAGGTTTGGGGGAGGGGGTGTCACCCTGCTGACAGAGGAGGATCCTGAGGGTTCAAAATGCTCCATGGGCATCGTCCAGCTGTGGTCCATGGTCCATCCTGAGAGCCAGTTCCTCTGCTCGCTGTTGGTAGTCATTCATGTCTTCCAGGCTCAGGTCCTTGCCCGGCAGAAGAGTGGGGCTTATCAGGACTCACTGTGGGCTAAAAGACCCGAGTCAAGAGAGACATCTCTCAGCTGACATGGCTGTTGGAGGCCATTATGATAAATCTTCTAAGAGTGATTTTAACCTTGGGGTCTTGCTGTTCTAGGCCAGCTCTCAGAAAAGCCCCATAGCCGTGTTCAAGATCAGCCAGACCCTTGCTTGGTGATGCCAGCAAGTACCATAGGCAAGCTCCAGGAAGACCTGCCAGGGTCTGAGCCTAGACAGGTGAGGCCAGAGGGTTCTGCAGATAGGATCAGTGGGGCCTTATAGCCCTGCTATGTGCTTGGTGATGTGGCCACCCTGGGGAGGTTCTTCTTGTTAGAAAGCTCCAGATTTAGAAGAATATTCTGGAAGTGATTGAGTGAGAGGTTTGAGGGGATGGGATGCAGTTTGCTGAGACCTGGACTAAGAAGTATATTGGGATCAAAAGAAGCCAGACCAAGCGCCGGGCCTGGGCTACTTGACTCATGTTGCCCTAGTGAAGCCCTCTGACTACCCACAGAGCTGGTTCTGCCTTCCTATCCAGAGATGATGAGACCGGAGGGATGCTGGGACCCCCCAGAACTCCCAGCTTCAGAGGTACAGAGCCCTGGTCTCCTCCTTCTGTACTCTGTATCACTCCAATGTTCTGATCTCAACTGGATCTGAATTCGTCCTAATGCTGTGGCAAACCACTGACCTCAGCTTCTATCTCTTATCCTAAGAAACAAAGCTGAACTGGGAGTGGTTTCCTGATGTGACTCTGTGGTTCTAAACCTCATCCATCTATCCATGCATCTGCCCATGCACCTATCCATGCATCCATGCATGCATGCATCCATCCATGCATTTGTTCATTCATTCATTCACTTCCTGAACTATCCCCTCTTGCAGTTGGCTTCATGTAGTGGAAGGAATCCCCCACACTCCTCTGTCACCCTGAAATAGCATGTACTCAGGTTCGGTGCCTTATCTGTGTCTGCTAATTCCGTTATCTCTAATCTCCTCACTGTCTTAGAACTCGTGTCCCCGCTGCCTCTGAGGCCAGGAGGTGCTCTAGTGGTTGGGTATTTGTGAGGAGGCACTGTTTGGTTTGAGGTGAAGGGGTGTTCCTTGAGGATATCTGGGAGAGGGAGAATCTTGAGCAGTGGGAAGAGCTCAGGTAGAGGCCCTGAGGTGGAAGAGCAGGACATGCGTGCAGCTCTATGAGCAGGATCAGAGAGCACTGGGGGCGGAGCATGATCAGCTGTAGGTGGGGCTCGGCAGGCAGAGACTGGCTCATACCCCATCTCCTCTCTCCACCTGCAGGGCGCTCTTGTCCAGCCCCACCTAGATGGACAGATTCTTCGGCTGCTGTGTAGCTGCCCCCCCGAACCAGGCATGGATGAGCGACTTTGCCCCTTGGCAGGAGTTTCAGAGAATCTTCAAGCCGCTGGAGCCCAGGATTCCCTCCTACTGTTACCCACATCCGGGTTCCCGCTCTGGGAACCTGCTGGAGAACCGCAGCCCCTACTGCCACCTCTGCTCTGGAAGCATCTCCTACAAGAACTTCAGACCCAAGAAGAGATGGACAGCAAGCCGTCCCCTGCCCCTGAGGTTGGGACACACCCTGACTGGCCTTGTGATCTGGCAAGGAGCCATGTCGCCTCCTTCATCCAAAAGTCTCCGCTCATTTCAAATGGTTCATTTCCCACAAAAGAGTCCAAGGAGCCCAGAGACACGTGGAAGGAGGGAAGCAGGCCTCCAGTTGCAAGTACAGAGAAGTGGGAGGTGATGGGAGCCTTGGGTGTGATAAAACCAGAGCTTGACGACAGGTCTCTGCTGGACCCGGAAAACAGTGAGAAGCTGATTGTGGACACCGAGGGCCAAGCCCCAGAGGGCATACAGGAAGGGAGCAGGGCTTCAGAGACCGAAGTCATCGCCCACTGTCCTTGGCTCTGGCCGGAATGTCAATGTCTTCTACTGACTCTGCATAGGACAACCTCTAAGTCACCAGAAAGTCCTGGTCCCCTGAGAAAGAGATGGGGTGTGGAAGGATGTGGCTGGGAACACTTGGGAAAACTGTCACCAGAGAAGGAGGAAGAGGCTACCGGTGCTAGTGCCCATGATACGAGAGATACAGAGCCAAATGGTAGCCAGCTTTCAGCAGGAAGGGGCAAAGAGGTCTGGAGGACGACACAGGACAAGCAGGGCCACCAGCTGTGCTTTGGAGACACTCACATCCTGCAAAAGAAGTGGTCTGGGGAAGAAGAACAAGAGGAGAAGATGCAGCTCCGAGCGGCATCCAGCCCAGCTCCACTGGGTGTCTCTGAGCAGCTTGACTCCAAGTGCCATGCGGGTCAGGAACAGAGACTACCAATGGGTGATCAGGATTTTCTGGAGTTTCCCAAATGGGCCCCAGCAGGTGGCAGCAGTGAAGGTCCTTGCCCCTCTCAGACTCTGACCACAGGACAGGGCAGGAACACCCTCCAGCTACACACACTGGAAAGGGAGGTGGGGGCCTGCTTCCAGCAGCTGGACAACCTGAAGTTTGTCTATGGCGATCCCCAGGAGATGTCAGCATTGATGAGAAAGAGCCAGAGTGTCGCTTATACAGGGTTGGACACTGAGGGGGATCTGTGCCATCAGCAGGCCTCAGCCAGTCAGGATCTGAACACAAAATCCAGCAGGAATGGCGAGGGAGTGAGGCTGGAGGAGGGTATGGCTCTGGGCACTGGAGAAGTTCTTTCAGGACCAGCTGAGGGGGATAAAGCCAACTGGGGCCCTGCAGAGCTGAGTGGGAGCCCGCTCCCCCCAACGTGGTGTACCCGCAAAAGGGTGGGGAACAGCTTCCTTCAGCTCCTTGACACCCCAAAGAAAGAGAGAAGTCAGGTTTTGCTTGATAATGCCAGGCTTCAGGGAGCCCAAGAAGAATGTCACCATGAAGGATGCCATTGTGAGAAAGAGCGGGCCAGAGAAGTGGCCAAGGCCCTGAGGCTGGAACAGGCAAACCTATCACTGCAGGAAGAGCTGGTCCACCTCAGGCACGAACTGGACCAGTGTCTGCAGGCTGTGTCCGACCTGGAGGACTGTAATGGGAAGAGTTACTGCAAGATTTCCCAGCTGGAAGAGGAGAATGAGAAACTGAAGAGGGACCTGGGCCGGCTGCACAAAGCCATGTCCAAGAGTGTCAGGAAAGCTGGAAGCAGGATGGAGCATGTCACCCTGGAAAACAGGGAGCTCAGGGCTCTGATCTCAGAGCTTGGAGTCGGTTACAAAGGGCTGATAAAGGACACGATGCTAGGGATAGAAGACATGCTCTGGGCTCTGCAGGGGGAAAACCAGCACCTTGTATGCAGGGTCCAAGGCCTGGAACGGGAGGTCCTGCAGATGAGTGGGGATCCCAGGGAAGCAAAGTGGTGTTGCCGGGGAAACTTCAAGATGGCAGGAGACAAGGGGCACATGGAAGACAAAGAGGTCCAGGTGACTCTGCTTTCAGGACAACTGGTTACACGAGCCTGTGGGCCACCCTGGGATGAGGAATCAGGCGTGACTTGGGGGCAGGTAGGACCTTCCTTAGATTTGAAAGGTTCCAGATGCGGGGCTGTTGCTAGTTTTGCCTCATCAGTCTGTGGAGTCACTACAGGGTCTCAGGAAGCAAACGCCAACGGGGCAAAGGGAGACGGAGCTCGGCTGCAGAAAGAACAGGAGACACCATGGTGTTCCATGCGACAAGGACAGTCTCAGAGGTCCCTGAGCTGCAGCCTCCAGGTATGTTGGTTTGCCTTCCCTCCTGTATTGCTGACTCTGCAGTGGGGTACCCCCCTTAAGACCTAGGCATCCCTGTGGCAGCCATATAAGGGAGTTAGACCTCCAGCCCCATTTGCTAGATGACAAAACCAGGCAGAGAAGTGAAGGGGTTTGTGTGAGGTCTCCTGGCTAGGGAGAGTCGCAGCTGGGATTAACCCAAGCAGGTTGGCCCAAGATCTCCCTTCTGACTTGCCAGGTAAGCTTGACCCTCCCAGTTGATCCAGAGAAGAAAGGGTGTGGGGGAGGGCTTGCACTTTGAGGTCGTACCTTGGATTTTCTCAAGTGGAAAATAGCTCAAACAGCCTGAATGAATCAACATCATTCAGGTTGGGTCTTAACAGTTGTTGCAGACAGAACAGTGGTCTATGGAAGGTAACACAGCAGGGGAATTGGGTTGGTTCTGTAGAGACCTGAGGCTTTGGTGTAGGCGTGGGAGTCCCTCTTCTGACTTGCTCCTGCCCCCTGCCCCAAGACAAATCTCAACTTGTCTAATTCCCAAGATGAAATGCTCACATTGTTAATGTCTAGGGACCCTTCATGCTGAGACTCCACATCCCTCCAGCATCCTGCCTCTCTCTCTCCCTTTCTGTGTCTCCATCTGCTCCCTCCCCCTCGCTCTCCATTGCTGGCTCCAGCTTCCCTCCTTCCTCAGCAATTCTAGTCACTATCAAAGAACAGCCTTTGGATTTTTACCAGTTTTCCTTTACTGTCTGCACTTCGTCATGTGTGTGTGTGTGTGTGTGTGTGAATGTGTGTATGTGTGTATATAATTCTTTCTCTTACAATAGCTTATATTTTTGTACTTTGCTATTATTGTTCTAGTAGCCACTTTAGAAAGTTCAGGATGTATCTGTCATTTAGATTTGCCTTAGATTAATGCCTTTGTACCATGTCCCAAATCATGCAAAAAAATATTTTAGTAGCTTACCTTTGTTAATTCTTTATTATCTTGTTATACATTGCTTTGATGTGTAATAAGCCTCATGTCATTGTTGCTGCTGATTTGAGCAGCCATTAATCTTTCTTGCAAATATCTGCATGTTTTTGTGGTGTTTATTCTTCCACAAGAATTTGGAGGAATGTGTTGTTGTTGTTATTTCTCTTAGTGAGAGTTAGCTGGTGGCTGACTATTTTGCGTTTCTCTTTATGAAACATTGTTCTCACTAGCCTTGAAGATGGTTTCTCTTAGATTCAGCACTGTGGATCAGCAGCTTCCCTTCACACAGCACTCTGAAGGCTGCCTTCTGTTGTCTTCCGCCTCCCACTAGCTCCATTTGGAAACCAGTTGTCATCGTCATTTCTTCCATTTCCAGAAGAAACGTATGCTATCGTGTCTGACTGATTTGAAGATTTCCTGCTTATCTTTGATTTTTGGTGGCTTGATGGATCTAGCTATGGCTCTGTTTCCCAAGCTCTTTGAACTTAAATATTTATGCTTTTCTTCAGACTTGAGAAAACTTTAGTTATCATTTCCTTAAGAAAAATTTCCATATTCAGAGGTACATATGCATGTATGTGTATAGTGCTTGTGTGTTTGGGCATGTGTGCTATTGTATGCATGTGTTGAACAGTGCATGAGTGTGTAGTGTGTATGTGTGTGCAATGTTTGTGTGTATATGTGTGTGCAGTGCGTATGTATATGTAATGCATGTGTGTACAGTGCCTGTATGTGTGCAGTGCATGTGTGTGTGTGTGTGTGTGTGTGCATACCAGAGGTTAACTCTGGTGTCATTCTCCTGGACCTATCCACCTGTATTTTTCATTCCAGACAGGGTTCTTCTGGGACCTAGAACTCCCCAACAAGGCTAGAGTGAGTAGCCAGTGAGCCACAGGGATCTGCCTGTCTCAGCCTCCCCAGTGTTGGGATTACAGATCCCAAGTGTGTGCCACCACACTTGGCTTTAACCATGGGTGCTGGACATAGAACCCTGGTCCTCAGCCCTGCAGCAAGCACGTTAGCCGACGAACCAGCTCTTCAGTCCCATACTTGTCCTTTGGTCAGTTTTATTGTCCTAATTTCCTTTCACCTTCTGTAATTCCAGACCCTTTGACTGAGTCTTTTCCCTTTTGAAAAAGTTTATCTTAGTTTTGCAGGCCTGGTATTCTGTTTTGCGTTTTCTATTGACTTTAATTGGCTAGCTGTGTGTTCTGTTGTGACCCACCTTTGATAAACTCACCCAGTGAGCTCCCGATTCCATTCATAGCACTTTGTGCATCCATTTCCTTATTTACAAAGGAGAGAACTGTGCTCTGAAACAGTTCATCTTGTCAGCCTTTCACATCTGACTTTCAAATGTGAAAATACGCTAGCCACGGCCACTTTATAGATCTCCTCCCCTCCCCTCCCCTCCCCTCCCCTCCCCTCCCCTCTCCTCTCCTCTCCTCTCCTCTCCTCTCCTCTCCAGCGCCGGGATCATCTCTCGGCCTGCTCCTGTTCGCCTGATTTTTGGCAGGTTTCCACACATGTTCACCACTCAAAGAGCTTTTGGTGTAGGCCCTGTGTGTGATGTGTTGTAGAGGTCGCCGGCCACCTCTCCCTCCCAGCAGCATTGTGAGCGTCTCTTGCTGGCCCCTCACAAGATGGCTTCTGGTCACTGTATTCCTGTGTAAGTCTCTCTCAGTTCCAGGGTATGCGGTGTCTCTCCCAGTGTGGCACTTGCTCCTAGGACATCCACCCTTCTGCGATGTTGGCCACGTTCCCAGAGTGTTCAGTGAGATGACTTCACCTTGGCTCAGCATGAACACTGCCACCTTCTCAGGAGTGTGTGGCCCCGCGGCCCTGGTGGGTCACCCTCCCAGTGAAGGACGGGAGGAAGGCATTTCTAGGGCAGCGTTTGTTTTTATCTGTTTTAATGCAGCTCTCCGTTCTCTGTTCTCCACACCTGGCTGTCCTTCCGTACCCAACTCCGGCTCTCACCCTTCCTCCCAGCCCTGATCTCAGCATTGGAACTAATTTCCTGAACGGTGCTCTACAGTGAGTTTAAGGGAGAAGCCTAGGGGTTCCCACACTTGCCTGTGTTTAATCCCCCCACCCCTCTTGCTCCCCTAGTCACTTTCCAGCTCAGGCAAAGAACTATTTTTGTGTTTTCTCCCTGGATGTCTTGGTTTTCAACAATAGCTATTCTGACTTGGCCTGGGAAGATCTGGAGATCAAAGGAGATGGATATAGATAGAGAGTTTCAGGGCCTTGCGAGATGGCTGCCCCGGCTCTGATGCAGTGAAAAGTCAGGTTTGCTGAATAATAAAGCTGAGCCGGTGTGGCTGTCACAGCAGCCAGGCCTGTGGCAGGAGACGGAAGGTGGAGAATCTGTAGAGAAAAGGAGGTCAGGGCTGGCAAGTTAGCCTCGCCCTGAGGTGGGGTGTGTGTGTGTGTGTGTGTGTGTGTGTGTGTGTGTGTGTGTGAGAGAGAGAGAGAGAGAGAGAGA